TTTTCAATAGTCTTTGAACAATGCTCAAATGGAATTTCAACCTGACTAAGAACAATATCTGAAAATTTTGTCTTGAATGTGTTACAATCACTTACAGCAGAAATATCACTTCCGTCGACACTTATGTTGTTTGATTTTAAAAATAACAACCATTTATCTTTGTTTAATGAGTGCTTAGGTACTTTAAAAAGATTTGTAATTGTTTTATTTTTGTTGCAGCTTGCAATTTTGCAGGTTTTACCCATAATTAATGAAAATTAATCAAAATTTTACTAATGTAAACAAATATAATTTTTTGATGAAATATTTTTAACGGAATTTCATTTTTTGAAAAAAATTCAAATTCGAATTTTCGATTTCGAAGAATAAGGACCATTTTCGAAGAATAAGAACCATCGGCACCCATTGGTGATTATTATAATATTTAATAAACAAAAGAGTCACGAAAGTTACTTCCATTATTGCACACATGAGAGGCTCTTCACCCCTCAACACAAACTATCTTTTCTGTATTTATGATTAGATCTAGATAATTATCGCGGTATGGTTGAAAGTAAAAGTGTGACTACCTTTCTACATCGTTGGTTTGAACATTTCTGCTTGTTCAGAAAGTCATTAAGGTGTAAAAATTAATGAATATATGTGGTGATGTTAATGAATTTTGATATAGTTATTATTTTATGTAAAAGATCGGGGTTGTAAATTTCATTTTTAATAAATTACTTACATTCATTATGTCCTGCTACATGTGTAGCGATGAAAATTTATTGTCCAGCCATAAATCATGAGAATGATGAGGGATTGAAATTTTACAAAACCAAATTCAAGTTTACTACGATTTAAAATATTTCAAAAAAATCCATTTAAGGTTGACGAAAAGTAAATTTTCAATGCACCCGCATGTGATCATTAATCTTTGTACAAATTCAGCACCAACTAAACAATACACGTATTTTTACGTGAATTATGTTATTGAAACTGAAAAGCAGGAAGCTCTCAATTTAGTAAACACGATCTATATCTCTCGAATCCATTCTTTCTACTTGCCATTATTTGTAAGCAAGCAAGTCAAGAATAATAAAAGCATATGTCGTATGTCCATTGTTTCTCAATCTTGTGAGATAATATACATCATCAAGCTACAATAGCCCACAATTGTTGGGTTATGTCTTTCACAACCTTTCTTCATCATAAAAAATTGCGAATCAAAAATAATGAAAAGCGTCTCAAGTCACGACATTTCAATGATCATTTAAAGAAACATTGTAATTTATTGGAATCGACAAAAATGTGTATGTTTATGTATCGAAAGAAGAGAGACGATAATGAACAACAATGGGAAACTTTGACTGCTCATGCTCTTCCTATTGTTGCAGACACAAAGCGTGTCCAAACTTTTATCATCAATTCTGGACATGACTCAACATCTATAGACAATTTATGACACTCTTTATTTTTTTTTATATCCAAGTTTTTCCATGATGCTCTCAATTTTTCCCGATCTTGTGAACTTCTTTGCCTTTATGATTCTGTGTTTTTTTAAAGTGCCAATAAACCTTATAAAATTGGCGTCAGCCATAATTTCTTTGCCATAATGAAAATCCATAATTCTTCCAATGCTTTCAATTAAATTCGTGATTTGTGTGTTTACGTTGTGGCTTTTCCATGTCTGTCTATCTATCTATCGACGCTTATGGCAATAAAAAGAAGTAAAATCAACATTAAAGTGAAAAAATTTTTCACATTGAATTAGGTTAGGTCTGAAAAAGAAAATAGTAAGGAATGAATGCACTCCAAAAGAAATCGCAGGAAAGAGATAAAGCTAGCCGCAATAATAGCAAATAATAAACATGAACAGATTGAACTGTGCTTTTTTTTTGTTTACTTTATTCGAGTCCATAACGATGACACAATCGATGGCAGTTAATTGAATTCAATGAACCATGAGAAACAGAAATAAAATAGCACTGAAAACAATCGACACTTTCGATTTCTTTCTTCTATTGAGCTTTAAAACGGGTGTGATTGTAATTACAGTTGCGGAAAGGTTGGTGAGATCATTGGATGGGGTTGGTGACTTTATTCTCGATTTTTAATTGTTTTGAATTGTTTATGTTTACTGGATCTTGATTAACTTCTACAATTGGATATGTCAATTCCTTATTTTTGTTTAATTCCATATAAGTCGATCTATATTGTCTTTTTATTAAGATCCAGTTCATATTTAGACTTAATTGGAACTAGAGACTTGCCAAAAGTTGAATACACTCATTAATCAACAAGAACATTGTTCCTATAAAACTATCATATCCAACAGTGAATCTTTGAACCGAAACCAAAAGCAAAGTAAGGCAGTCAAGTCATAAAAAAAGCACCAGATGCACAAGCCACATATTAAAGTTATCAACCCTTCATTATTATTTATTTGAATTCTCTCTTATTAATAACTTACTTGTTTAAATTGCTTTATAAAAGTATAATGACGAGCCATTTGTTTTTCATTACCTTACATCTACGTCTTAAAACTACTTCAATACGTAGTCACATACACATTTTTTTCATCTAAAAAAAGAGTTTATTTAATAATAAAAATCTCAATTAGTGTTTTCGAAGGTCATGAATCAAATAGGTCATGTAAAATATGAAAATATACTACATAACATAATGAACATCAATAGCATGAGATATGAGGCAATTGTACGCCTTCATAATGAAATAAAATAGATTTATTGAATTATGAAGAAGAGAAATGAGACATCAAAGGGGAAATTATTGCTATTGAGATTTATACTTTGTAGGACACAGGAGAGAACAAGATGGATTTATATATTTTTTAAATGACTCTTAGGGTTTGTGCCTAAGTTACATTCATCAAAAAATCTCAATTTGTCATGAAGATAGTCGGATAAACATTTTTTAATTTGGATTTTAATAAAGCTCATATATAAGTTTGCTTGCTAAGTGTCTACCTTAACATTGAACATAACTTACAGATGACTCGCTTAGATGAACATCAAAGAAGTCAATAAATGCACACATACATGAACTCAGCAATGAATTATATTTTCCTCAATCTCAATCTCTCTTTCCGGATTGATGATCATCGAGCGGCATTAGTCAAACGATTGAAAAGTATAAATCAATCAATCCACAATCGGCAATCAAATGCAGTAAATTTTTCAAAGCTTTCGTCAGTTTGCTTTAAATCTTTAATTTGTCATGACTGCTAATCGAAACTTTTATATGTTCGCGATAAAGTATGGGAAATGAAAAAAATCTGTATCTAATTGGCGATAGCCGGTCACACCTTTTGATTTTCCACATAATAAATTTTCTCATTCCATTGTGCAGCCTTCTTTATCCTATGCAATGAAAGTTTGTGTCTAAAAGCGATTAGACTTAATTGTCTGTTATTAATTAGATTTGTAAGGTGAATGAGAAGGAATGAAAAATTGCCTAGACATGCATTAAGTTTAATGAGAAGTGTAGATGTTTGCACCTTACGAATATCTAAATGAGAAATATATTGAAGATATTATCCATGACCTGATTCACATGGCAAATTTCCTTTTGGCATTTATCAGCTTGCTGTAATGAATTACCTTTGAAATTAATAAGTAAATTGAATTATAAAGAAGAGAAATTCCTTTACATCAGTTTAAGTTTATTGAATCTTTTGCAGCAGCAAAGGATAATAATGGGTGATAATGATGAGCCATTATTTCTCACAAATTGCTTTCGGGCAATACGATTTCAATTATGTTATGAAAGCGTGAACTTTAAGGTTGATTGTTGGGGATTTTTTAAGTGTTACATCATCTTCATCTGTTGCTTGACAACAAAAGTCGTTAAAACTTATTTGGATTTTCACAAACGAAGCTAACTTCAGGTCGTATGAATTATTTGTTTACATTGAAAATTTTGCAATTTTGATGCCAATAAAGCATTTTCAAGCCTGTCTTTACATTCTAATCTGAACTTTAAGCAACTATGAACCAAAATGTCTAAATCCAGCAGATGTTCAAAGCAATTTTAAGCCTTGAAACAAAAATTATAAAATCAATTGAAAATTGCACATCATTTGCGGACTTTGTAGCATTTATGTCTTATTAATTTAGAATAATAAACACTTTAATTAACTAAAATTGTTTCAAACACAAGATGCTTTATTGAGTGAAGCTTATTCCATTATAGTAATGTAATATTTCTCAATAAAAAACGAGAAACAATAAATTTTATTACCAATTTTAATGAAACAAAAAACAGTCAATGCCAGCAATTTTGCAAAGCTCATCTTTATCGATCATTATTATCGATTCTCTAGATGCGAAGTTCACATTCTTTTACGCTCGATTGAATGTCAATAGCACTTTGAGTAAACACATGTGGCTGAATGTTTATAGCATGTGAAATTTTTCCCAAAATGAATTCCTTTCACATACATACATACACTGAGAGAAAGACAGCGTACATATATATATAATTATTATTACTGTTATTATTGCGAAGGCCATGAAAATTTAGCTCATGAAAACATCTTCATATTCCTTGCTAGCATTCACGGCGCTATTTTTATCGCTTTTTGCTCCTTCGTTTGCAAAACAAATAGATGGATGTGAAAACGCACATAAACACACGTATAATATCCATTATATTGACATTTTTAGTTCTCTTCAAGGTTAAATTTGTTTGATATTTGATGAATATAAAATTTACGACCGAGCGATAGAGGAAGAGAGAATTTGATGTGCTTAATATAAAATATGTGTTGTTTTTTGCATTTTCATGGTTTAGAGAAAGCATTCCGTAGCTATTTGATGAACATGTCTTGGCATAGATCAAGGATGGAAATTTTCCATGAATATAAAAAAGAAAATAAAGTCATAAATATTCATATTCCGTCCAAAGCTATGGCTGTGGAAAATTTATTTATATCATAAATCACTCAAAATGAAATTGATGACTAATGTTTGCATCATTTTTTTCTTGTCTATTTATAGCAAATCCAAAAGATTGGTCAGATCATGCATTGTGGTGGCCTGCTAGAAATATTTGGCTCACAAGAACACGCTCGACACTCGATCAAGTTGGTCTTCATGCTGATGCACTTCTCCACTTCACACCTATGCACAAAATTCTTAGAGTTCAGGTAAGCATTCACATTATTTTTTAAACTTTTTAAGTTTTTGAAAATTTAACGGCGTTTGAGAATTTGAATAGAATAAGGGGTAGGAAGAAACATAAAATTTGAAATTAAACTAGTGTATCGGGTAGAAACCCAATGCGGATATATTCACACCGTACCATCAAAAGTCTTATGGATAGACCAAGATTTGCTCAGGATAAGTTTGAAGTCAAAAACACTTAGTTTGAATTTTGTCACCCTCGGGAACACTATGAACCAGTATAGCTGATTTTGGTCCAAATCTCGGCCATACTTCACACTTATTTGAACCACATTTTCTCGTAAATGTTAAAATATTATTAAAAAGTAATTAATCCTGAATTATGTCGCTATTTTGTCAAGTGTTTTAAGATAAAGAATTTGTTTTTTAGTTTCCACAGTAAAGAGTATGAACAAAATTCAGATGGGGTAGTCGAAATTTTAGATTTCGATTTTTTTTAACCTATGCATTACAAAAAGTAATATTGGTATGTGATTTATGTCAGAATTATGTCAATTCAAATAAAACATCCAAAAAATTTTTTTGACCAAAGTACACCATAGAAAATCAATTTTCAATTTTGGACTAAGGGCGACCCTAGTCAAAATCAATTTTGTCACTTTTTTCTTCGAGGGTTTATCCAAATGGATTGAAACTTTGCATAAATATTCTAGTGTTTAAAAGAATTACAAATAAAACATCCTAAAATTTTTTTGAGCAAAGAACCAAGTAGGAAATACATTTTCAATTTTAGACTAGGGGCGACCCTAGTCAAAATCAATTTTGTCACTTTTTTCTTCGAGGGTTTATCCAAATGGATTGAAATTTTGCATAAATATTCTAGTGCTTGAAGCAAATACAAATAAAACATCCTAAAATTTTTTTGAGCAAAGAACCAAGTAGGAAATACATTTTCAATTTTGGACTAGGGGCGACCCTAGTCAAAATCAATTTTGTCACTTTTTTCTTCGAGGGTTTATCCAAATGGATTGAAATTTTGCATAAATATTCTAGTGCTTGAAGCAAATACAAATAAAACATCCTGAAATTTTTTTGAGCAAAGAACCAAGTAGGAAATACATTTTCAATTTTGGACTAGGGGCGACCCTAGTCAAAATCAATTTTGTCACTTTTTTCTTCGAGGGTTTATCCAAATGGATTGAAACTTTGCATAAATATTCTAGTGCTTAAAACAAAAACAAATAAAACATCCAAAATTTTTTTTAAAGCAAAGAACCAAGAAGGAAATACATTTTCAATTTTAGACTATTGGCGACCCTAGTCAAAATCAATTTTGTCACTTTTTTCTTCGAGGGTTTATCCAAATGGATTGAAACTTTGCATAAATATTCTAGTGCTTAAAACAAATACAAATAAAACATCCTAAAATTTTTTTGAGCAAAGAACCAAGTAGGAAATACATTTTCAATTTTGGACTAGGGGCGACCCTATTCAAAATCAATTTTGTCACTTTTTTCTTCGAGGGTTTATCCAAATGGATTGAAACTTTGCATAAATATTCTAGTGCTTAAAACAAATACAAATAAAACATCTTAAAATTTTTTTGAGCAAAGAACCAAGTAGGAAATACATTTTCAATTTTGGACTAGGGGCGACCCTAGTCAAAATCAATTTTGTCACTTTTTTCTTCGAGGGTTTATCCAAATGGATTGAAACTTTGCATAAATATTCTAGTGTTTAAAACAAATACAAATAAAACATCCTAAAAAGTTTTTGAGCAAAGAACCAAGTAGGAAATACATTTTCAATTGTGAACTTGAGACAGTTCTAGTCAAAATCTAGTTTTTCATTTTTTTCTTCGAAGGTTTATCGAATTACAGTGAAACTTTGTGTGAGTTTACTAAGATTTATACAAAATTGTTTTAAATATCTGAAGCAAGAAATGTATTCTATATGTCGTCAGACCCAAATTTTATAAATTTGGTTGTACATTCAAAAAAAACGTGACTTAAAATTTTGTCCAAAAAAATGATTTTTATTAATTCAGAAATGTGTGACCTGAGGATTAGAATGCTCATACAAAGTTTTACTGTATTTGGATTTATCCTTGAAGAAAAAAGTGACAAAATTGATTTTGACTAGGGTCGCCCCTAGTCTAAAATTGAAAATGTATTTCCTACTTGGTTCTTTGCTCAAAAAAATTTTAGGATGTTTTATTTGTAATTCTTTTAAACACTAGAATATTTATGCAAAGTTTCAATCCATTTGGATAAACCCTCGAAGAAAAAAGTGACAAAATTGATTTTGACTAGGGTCGCCCCTAGTCCAAAATTGAAATTGTAATTTCTACTTGGTTCTTTGCTCAAAAAAATTTTAGGATGTTTTATTTGTATCTGTTTTAAGCACTAAAATATTTATGCAAAGTTTCAATCCATTTGGATAAACCCTCGAAGAAAAAAGTGACAAAATTGATTTTGACAAGGGTCGCCCCTAGTCCAAAATTGAAAATGTATTTCCTACTTGGTTCTTTGCTCAAAAAAATTTTAGGATGTTTTATTTGTATCTGTTTTAAGCACTAAAATATTTATGCAAAGTTTCAATCCATTTGGATAAACCCTCGAAGAAAAAAGTGACAAAATTGATTTTGACAAGGGTCGCCCCTAGTCCAAAATTGAAAATGTATTTCCTACTTGGTTCTTTGCTCAAAAAAATTTTAGGATGTTTTATTTGTATTTGCTTCAAGCACTAGAATATTTATGCAAAATTTCAATCCATTTGGATAAACCCTCGAAGAAAAAAGTGACAAAATTGATTTTGACTAGGGTCGCCCCTAGTCCAAAATTGAAAATGTATTTCCTACTTGGTTCTTTGCTCAAAAAAATTTTAGGATGTTTTATTTGTATTTGCTTCAAGCACTAGAATATTTATGCAAAATTTCAATCCATTTGGATAAACCCTCGAAGAAAAAAGTGACAAAATTGATTTTGACTAGGGTCGCCCCTAGTCCAAAATTGAAAATGTATTTCCTACTTGGTTCTTTGCTCAAAAAAATTTTAGGATGTTTTATTTGTATTTGCTTCAAGCACTAGAATATTTATGCAAAATTTCAATCCATTTGGATAAACCCTCGAAGAAAAAAGTGACAAAATTGATTTTGACTAGGGTCGCCCCTAGTCTAAAATTGAAAATGTATTTCCTTCTTGGTTCTTTGCTCAAAAAAATTTTTTTCATCCAAAGATTAATTTAAAAAAAATCACAGTGAACTTTTAATTTGAAAAATTCGTAAGAAAGGAAAGTTTTTTGCTTTTTCTGAAGCAACGGCTGTTCCTACCTTGCCTAAAAACAATACAGCTCTTCTTTAGAGCAGCACGGATCAAATGTAAAAAACTAGAAGTCTCTACAATGTCTCGTTATTGAGATTTCTTGCTGATTAACTTGCTTGTTTGCTTCTTTGCTTGTTTGCTTGCTTACATAAAGCATATTTTGCGATTTTCTCAGCAATGCCCCAACCAATCATATTCACACAAAATTTTTGAAATCTGTTTTTTGCGAAAGATGTGAAATTCAAGGCACAAACTTTTCATCTCTGAACATTTTAAGCTATCTTGCTCCATATCCTCACAAAATATAAAAAACTGATTTTTCAATGTGAACAAAACCAATAGATTCAAAAGTAAAAACGGTGTGAATATAAAAAACCGTTGAATTTTAAAACTCAAATAACAGCTTGTCTTAGCAAAATAGCTGTTTATCAAGCGAAATAACTAATCATCTGCCAATTAGTTTCCCATCAAATCAACACAAAATCAAAAACGGCATTTTATATTACAAATTGATGCCAAATAAATTGAAAAACATTCCATGCAGCTGAAAAATGTTGCAAAAAAATTATTCAATTAAAAAAATTGCATAAAAAACTTGCTACCGACAATGATTGCATCTTAAATTGATTATTCTTGAGAGATTGTTGACTGTTTTTTTATGAGAGCCAGTCATATCAGTTTTTATGAGCATTAAATTGTGTCACATTGCTACTGACTGCCATCTACAAACATTTTTCAAATGCTCAATTCAATTTTTTTTCCTATCTCATTCCTTATAAGTCCAGCACTTATTGAATTACATCATTACACTTGAAGCTTGTAATGAGTTTGATGAGAGCTTGGTAGAGTAATTATGAACAAACACTTTTGTACTGTAAGCTGTTAGAGCGAGATAGGCAAAGTGTCATGTCATGAAAATATCATTCTCGAGTGCTTTTTGCAATATTTGCATTTTATGAATAAAAAATAACGAATTCAATAATGATTTGCATAAATTTATTTATGGACATTAATGACGACATCACAGCAAAGTCCAATAAAGTCTTTATATCGATTATATGGCAGTCAATTGACATACAAAATTAATAAAATAATAATAATCATAAATACTGAAAAGTACGTTAGCGCCTCGATTAATTCACAGTCAATAATAATAAGGAAATTGAGATTTAAGTCAACCATAAGTGACAGCCTTCAAGATTATTGGTTTCTTAGAGAATCCTCTTGTTGTAGATTTGGAAATAGATTTTGGAACTATGAGATTTTTTGGAAGCATCCAATCTTACCTGTATAATATGATATTCAAACCGAGGACCCCCTCTCTAAACCATCTCTTTGCATCTCTTGAATACACTCACTCACATAACATTTTTAGCTGCATCACGTCTATCAACCAGCTAGTGACGCTAAGGCATAGCTACATATGCTTCCTTATAGACCGTTCATTTATGCCGTCCGAAATTAACGGTAATTTTTCAAAAAAATACAATAGAATTCCAGGAATTTCTATTATTTTTTTCTTACTACCCCCCCCCCCCCCCCCCCCCCCTTCCACCTGGACGTCATAAGTGAACGGCCTCTTAGACCATCATTGTTTCGGATAGAACAATTGAACTTACAATGAAGGAAGAACTTTCGACTTAACAGTTATGTCTGCCAAAAAAATAAAAGAATTAATGAACTGCACAGTCCAACAGACATTAATTAATTGTTTTTATATTCTCATATATGACAAGCTGTTTAAAATTAGCATCAAATTCATTAGCGAATTGTGTAATACAAACAAAAATGACAACGGAAATCGTGAACATGTGTACATACACCTCCTTATATTTTATGGATCACGTTTCTTAATATTTTTTTTACGAGCACAAAAAAATAAAAGTTTTTTAATTGTGATTGAAATATCCGTAAAAAAGCTTAGAGAATTTATCATTAGCTCATTTTTTCGAGTCATAAATTTTTATATTATGACAGATTTCATGAAATAAACAATGGTTAGAGTGCCGCGAGCTATAATAGAGCCTAAAATACACTCAATCATCTATCTCTAGCTAAATCTAAAATACGTGCGAACTTTTTAAAACTTCCAACCCATCCATCCATTCGCGGCTGTTTTGTTTAACACTAATTGAATAATTTTATGTTAAGAGCTTACTCTCGTGTAATGGCTCTTCCATGTTATGGAAATTACATGCTTTTTAAAGGGAATTTTTGCACATTTAGATGAATAATGGATAGAGTTTAGTTAAAGTTATGAGATCATGCTGGGTGAGTGACTCAAGCGCTGTCGTCGGGTTGATGAGTTAATAGGTAAACATTTAGTCAGGTTTTTTAGCTAGTTTTTACTTAAAGTTCCTTAATTGATGCTTTCTGATGTTAAGTTTGTAAACAAACGATGCTCAAACAGCTGTTTAAGTTCCTTAAAAGGCCGATATCTTTCAAACTAGATATTAGCTCCAAATTTTTGTTTTCGTTGAAAAATTCTAAACTGGATGTTGTAAGATGCAGGTTTAAAAAAGCTTCTGTACTTATAAACCACATAATCAGTTTAAAGATACATTAATGAACCGTTGAAGACCAAAAAACATCAACAAATCCTTCAAAACGAATCAATGCCCATAACAAACATATTTATCACAAAATCAAGCTACGAATTAGAAGGTGGAATAAAACAAAGTCGTAAATTGCTCTCCCATGACCACACAGCAAAGAACAGAATGTTATAATTAATGCTTTTAAATAAATTAAGAAATGGAATTGCAAATTTAATTTTAATTACACGAAAAACCTGTGCAATACAGTCTACAAAAGATTTTATGCCGATACCAACCTGTTGTTCGTTATTTTGGTATGCAGAAAAGATAAATAGACACAACATGTTCAAATATCAAAGTCATTTATCGCCCACCGAACATTCCGTTTAATAAATTCCAATCAAAAAACATGAAGGTGTCGTGAATTAAGTTAATGCATATAAAATAAATATCTCTAGATCCATTAGGTAGTTGAAGGAATTTATAATATCAAGTCAATGCCTTTAGGGAGTATGCAAGAGAGAGAGAGAGAGATTGAGAGTTTTTACCGGCAAAGATAATGTTATACGTATATTCCATTTGACCATGATGTAAGTCAGCAAATTACCAGTGTAGCATGAAAAATTGTAGTGAGCAGCAGCAATGAAAAATTGTCAGGTGTAAATCAGCTTCAAGAATCAAACTCTTTATAATTTCAAGTCTGTTTTTACATTCATAAAGCTATAGTGCGACTAACCATATTGATTCATCGATATACGTCCGTTGTATTCACACTATTATCTCCTGATTATAAAAGAATATTCAATTTTCATATTATGTGTTAATGACTAAAAGATTTCATCATCACTTATTGTCTGTTGCCCTCAAGTTAAATAAATGTGATGTGATGATGCAAAGGAAGTTGCCTCTTTCTTCTGTGAATTTTTTATTTAAATCGCTGATCATTTAATAGCATTGAGTCATTGGTGGATTATTTTTTAATTTGAAGAAGCACGCTTTTTGGTATTTTTTGGGATTAATCATTAATATAACATTGAATTTTGTTAATTTGTTGATCATATGATATTTATGATTTTAAAGACACTTGTTACTGGTTGTTGATGATGTCATTTTTGATCTTGGAAATGTTTTTCTTTAAATTCTTAGAATATTTTCAACGGATTTTAATAATTCAAATTTTAACACACTTTTGAAGTTTGAAATTTGTCGGTTAAGTTCAGAAAAGAATCATTTAAATTGCAGTTTATTTAAACAAATTTGACTAGTTAGCAGAGTCCACAAAGTCTCTATCAGTAGCCTCAAATCAGTCATAAATGTCAAAACATATAAAATCATAACTAGCCATACAAGTATTCATAAGATTATGACCCCTCATCAATCAAGAGCAGAAACCGCATGAAACGTACGACTTCAAACACTTTAAAGTATATTGCAAGTAAAGCGGTCATTGACAAATGTCATGAGATGACAGTAGTACAATACAACAAATAAATACATTGAGTTTGGGGGCAAAAGTTAATTAAGTTTACAAACATTTTTGTATGATATATTCGAGATTTTTTAATAATAAGTATGAGTCGCTCATTAAGCATTTGCGGTGCAGATAAAGAAAAGTTTTCAGCTTCTCACATTTTAAGAATCATCGGGCATTCTCAAAAGGAAAATTAATCTTGAAAATATTTTTCTTCCGAAATTTAACAATGAATTAACTCAAGAGATTACAAAGGCGTAAATTTATTGTTCAGCCAAAATTTCAACTCATTTTTGGACATCACACATCTCATCACAGACAAAAGAATTATTTTTCATGATATGAGAAAATACTAAATGCAAATCAGCAAGATTTCTCGAAAGATATCGCGAATATATCCATTAATGGTAGAAATGAGCATGACATTCTGAGTCAAGTGGGCAGTTTGCGGCATGAAACACCCTCGTATTATTAATTTTAAATGTATTCTCAGTTTCTCAAGCACATAATATATTTAATGGAATGTTATGAATGAAAACAGCTTACGACTGTTCTTTGATTTGTAATTTTAATTAGTGAATAGTTTAAATTCTTTGATACATTTGTAAGATTTTTATCTAGTTTCTGCGAGGCTTTTGATGAATCAATTAAGAATGTGATTATTCAACGGAATTAATTTGAAATTTGTCACGAAAACGTGTTCATTAGTGACTACCCTGTTTTTTCGTTATAAGCTAGTAGCTTAGAAGAATAAAAATGTGATTTTTTTTGGCTCACTAGTAGCTTAGTAACGACTAGTAGCTCATAACGTAAAAACTAAGGTAAGAATATTTTAAAGTTCAAATTTTGAACCTTAGATTTGAATTTTAAAAATCCGTTGAAATTTAAACTCTCAAAAATTGTTAAATAATTTTGAATTGTTCCATTCGCAATAAATGCTTGCTACCTTGATATATCTACTTCCAAAAGATATTTATGAATGAATGAAAAAAACTGTTTCATGCGTGGGGCGTATAAAAGCAAGCAATAGCTTCTTTGAATATTTTATTTGTGCCTTTTATGAATGGCAGAAAATTTGTGTTTGCTTTATATGCGATTATTTATGAATGAATACGTTGGCTTAAAGTATAGCTTATGTAAACATCCAATTTATTCTTCCATTTATAGATCCCAGATCTTCGTTACATTGATTGCCGTGTTGATTTCTCAGTCAAAACATTCAGAGCTGTTGTAAATTTATGTAAAGATTTGGGCATTCGGTACCCAGAAGAATTATCACTTTGCAAGCCATTGTCACCAGAACATTTGAAGAGGAATTATGCAGATCAGCCAAAAAAGAAATTGAACGTGGAACAGAATGGAAATTATCAAAACAATCAATATATCAATCCAGCACCAGATACAAATACATTCATCCCACATCATTCAAATAGCTTTCATGGAAGTGATAATAGTTTAGATGATCGTCCATTCTCATGTGCACCAGTTGCACAGCGACCAACTCCACCTCCACATAATACAACGCTTGGTGGAACTCCAATAAGCTCACCAACAGGAACATTACGTCACCATTCAAATGGTTTTAATCACACAAATTTCAATGATTCATCATCTAGTCTTGGAGATTTCATTGAGAACTTGGCATACAGTCCACGTGCGCCAAGTCCCGAAGCCATATCAAAGCTTGTTCGACCAAAATCACTTGTTGAACGAGCCCGAATGAATGTTGGGTAAGCATGGCTATAAAAAGCTATAATTTGATGTTTATTAATTCAATTCTTGTTCTTACAGATGGTTGGATTCATCATTGTCTATTATGGAGCAGGGTATTCGTGAGTTCGACACGTTATGCCTTCGCTTCAAATATTTCTCATTCTTTGACATCAATCCAAAGTATGATCAAGTGAGAATCAATCAGCTTTACGAACAAGCTAAATGGACGTTGTTGAACGAAGAATTAGATTGCACAGAAGAGGAAATGTTGATGTTTAGTGCATTACAATTGCAAATTAATATACAGAACGACCAACCACAACCAGATTCTGGAATTGATACATCAAGTCTAGAGAAAGAAGGTGATGACGATATCGATGCTGCATTAAGTGAATTGCAAATTACATTACAAGGTCCACAGAATGGAACAAAGAATGGAGATATCATGAATATACCAGAATTGAATGATTACTTGCGATTCTTCAAGTAAGTTTCATTTTTCAAATATTTTATTAATGATTTAACGGATACAACTGAATATCAAACATATAATACAATTGAAAAGATATACCTATGGAATTTAATAAATGTATTAAAATCCTTATCTTTCTCATTTAGACCCAAAAAGTTCACATTGAAGGCCTATAAACGTTACTGGTTCACATACAAAGATTTGCATCTATATCTATACAAAAGTCGCGAAGAAAGTAGAAGCAGTGCACCACCAGCAGTGTCTATTAATCTAAGAGGATGTGAAGTAACACCAGAAGTGAATTTAGCACAAGGAAAATTCCACATTAAATTGGAAGTTCCTCCAGAATATGGAAATGGACCAAATAGCGAAGTGTGGATTCGATGTGATAATGAAGAGCAATATGCAAAATGGATGGCTGCATGTCGTTTAGCTGCAAAGGGACGTTCACTTGCCGACAGTTCATATGAGAGTGAAGTATCAAGTATTCGATCGTTCCTAAGTATGCAAAAACCAGCACAGGCACCAACTGTTAATATTAATCCAAACAATATTGATTCAAACGAGTATTTGGCACCACGTTTTGTTAAGAAATTGAAGGGAAAGGCAGCACACCGAATGTTAGACGCTCATGCAAATGTTAAAGATTTGTCACTGATTGATGCCAAACTAAACTACATAAAGGCATGGCAGAGCTTGCCCGAATATGGCGTTTCACTGTTTGTCATCAAGTTCGATGGACACAAAAAGGCATGTCTTCTTGGCATTGCAAATAATAGAATTATGCAAATGGATATGGCATCAGGGGATCACATCAAAACATGGCGATATAACTCAATGAAGGTATGAATAATGCACGAGCTTTAAATTATGAAATTGTAATTAAATATTTTTATTTTTTTTTTCTTATCAAAAGGCGTGGAATGTGAATTGGGAGGTGAAGCACATGATGATCCAGTTCGAGGGCGAAAACACAGTATTTTCATGCTTGTCATCAGATTGCAAGGTGGTGCACGAGTTTATTGGCGGTTACATTTTCATGTCAATGCGCTCAAAAGAGAACAATCAAACGCTTAATGAGGAGATGTTCCACAAATTAACTGGTGGATGGAATTAATTTAATAAAATAAAATTCTTATTTTAAGTTTTATTATTTTTTTGGTTTTTATTTGAAAAAAAGAAGCGATTGATAATCTAAAACTTTTTATTGATGGACTATATGTTAATAATAAATGAAATTGCGACACGGTTTTGCCTTAAGCACATATACAAGAGAAAAATAATTAATATTGTAAATAATAAAAAAAAATTGTTGAAAACATTTTTCTTCTACGAACAATAACTGAATTGAAAGATAAAGCCAAAATGTGTCTTAAAAGCCTTTTCACACATGAATATTAATCAACCTACTTAACAAAATTTTTACAATTTTCTCCGGAATTGAAATTGTTTGAATGTTTAAAAACCGTACAAATTATTTTCAAATAGGTCGTTTTGGAAACTTAAAACAGCCTGTAAATTAAACATTTGAGAGGTTTTCTACGAAAAAGAATTCAAAACAATACAACAGTCAAAAAATTATCAAAACATTTGAGAGGTTTCCAAACATAACTGAAACCATACAACAGCTTATCAAAATATCAATCAATTATACGGTTTTCAAACACAATTTTGAACTATTTCAATTCCCAAAACCCCTTTAAGATAAAAATAATAAATCAAACAATTTTTGAAGCCATTTTCTAGCTAAAAGCTAACCGAAATAAATGTTAAATTAATTAAAGATAAAGAAAAATCACCTTTTAGAAAGATTTATTTTATGCTAATTTATGAATCATATATATTAATGTATTTTACTGTAAATTTGTAACTTTAATTAATCATATTTGGTCGATGATGAGAGGAACCAGGAAAATGAACTAATAAATCCTTTTGTTTTATGGATGATTTTCTTTATTTCTTGAAAGATGAGTTGATATATCTAATCAGAAAATCTTTAATATTCGTCAAACAGCATAATTTAATGGAATTAATTAATATTATGTATTTTTTATTATTTTCTTCTTTGTAAATATTATTTTTTTTTTGAGAAAGCAGAAAGAAGGATGTAATTTTATGTTTTAATAAAAAGTACAGTGAAAAATCTATTAATGACCTCTAAATCTATCGTTTATGCTCATTTCCTCTTTAATAGTGGTGCATTGGATGTGAATATATTAAGATATTTGCCTCTCGTCACTTCCTTTGCCTCCTCAACACCCAACTGATATCCTTCATCATACAATCGTCTTATTTCAGCTACAATTTCAGTCTTTGGTAAACTTCCGAGCTCTTTAAACAAAAGATGCAGGATCAGATTAGTGTTATAAGCATGAATGTTGAATTTAACGGACTTACGGTAAATATTCCTAATATCATCTTGAGTCAAGCCATTCTCGCCATCCTTTGCAAGTTTTCCAACAGTCTTTATGTAATTATCACTTCCAGGAATCTTTTCAGGCCATAGTTCTGGGGATGCACGTAGATTCTCACTGCTTAGTAAAAAGTTGTCTTCTGCTTTAAAGAAATTAAAAACAAAGCGTTAAAATTTTTGAAATTTTAAATTTTTTCGACTTAATCCAATTATTTGTAAAAATTCTTCTTGCTTATACCAGGCATTATTAGTTAAACTATAATTTGATTTCACTTTCGATGTTTAAAAGCAGCTAGATCACTGTTAAATAATTAATTTTCTTACCCGATGACATGTTGTTGTTTTTGTTGATTTTGTGTGTTCAGAAACTATTCAAAATTGATTCCCTCAGATATGGCAGTTATTTTTAATATTGAAGTAGATCCCCTCAGAATGAATGTGTTTAGTATTTTTAAGATTTCGAATTCTTTTCGAACGTTAATAACCAAGTTTGTTGATTATTTTGTTTTTCCGTATACTGGGGGTCCTCGATTTGAGTAGTTGTTTTGTTCCAAAAAATTTCTACTCAAATCGAATCTATTCAAATCGAGGCAAAGAATCCATACAAAATTACATGTTTTGTTCCTGAGTCCAAAAAATGTATCAAAACAATGAAAATTTTGATCATTTTTTGCACATTTTACCTCGTTTCTTAACTTTTCCTTTGTGTTTTAGATAACTTAATTTATTTCAACATATTGTTTTTAAATATTCATATTGTTTTTAAACGGAAATGCACAAAAAAAATGTTTTTGAAACAAAACAAAAATATGAGAACCTTGCAAATGTTATTTCACTGAACAATTTGTAAGGTTTTTGAATTTGAACTTTTTAAAATCGATGATTTTATATCGATTTTTTAAATTTTTACTTTAATTTTGTAACTTTACTATCGATTTTTCTATCAATATGATAAGTTCACGCTTATCGCAGTAAAATTTATGTTTTAAAATTATTTTCTGAAATGTTTTTATCAAAAATGTTTGTTTTGTAAACAATTCAAATCGAAGAAAACAGGAAGAAATCTACTCAAATCGAATATTTTGGTGGGTAATAAATTTTCTGTTCAAATCGAATCTACTCAAATAGAATCTACTCAAATCGAGGACCCCCAGTAAACGATTAAATATCATTAATTTCACAATGTAGTAGTGCCAATAACACAATCAGCAAATAGAATTGAGAGAGAATGAGAGAACCGCTGATTGTTTTGTTTATTTGTTAAATCAATGCTCTCACTTTTATGTGAAATGCGGGTCGTTAAGGAACAACTGCTTTGTACAAATATGCCGGTAGAGTATCAAATTACTGCAAGATACTTGGAATAAGAAGAAGATTCACAAAGACATAGAAATGCTTACATTTTGTAAGATGAAAACATCCAGTTAAAAAAATATATAAGATCCAGTAGCAAGTAAGTGAGATAAATAAATAGTTATGGATAAACTAGACTAACACGTGTTAGATGAACTTGTTACTCGTGTAAGCTAGTAGAGGATTTTTTGTTTATATCATCAGATGATGAACGAATATGCTACGAACGCAATTAAATGATCGGAATTGAGCATTTATATTTATCGTGATACAGAACATTGAGTTGCTGCTTTTACGCGCATGCTTATTATTTGACAGACACACATTATACTCAATTTTTCCCTTCACAGCACAATTTCTCATTTTCTTCAGTCTTCGTCGGTCTTTCGACTCAGTAAGCCAGTCAAAAAAGAAATCAACAAATTTAATTCTCGGTTTATACCTTTATTTGTGTGTTATTAAGGCATTATTGAGTGGAAAAATTTCTATATTTTGAATGTTCATTGATAAAATTCTATCAAGTTAATTAAAAACACAATCCTCATATCAACAACAGTGCTAAAGTATTACAGGAGAAACGATGTCTCTTAGACTTTTAATGTAAGTTGTAATGGACGTAAAATTTTTTCATCTGACTCATTTTTGAGTCTAATCAAGAGACTTAGATTATTGATGAGTTCCAAGGCTGTTTATAGACGCATTGTGTGTAAGGAAAAGAAAATTACAAAACTTTCCCGAGGCATTTCTCAAGCGTCAGAGCGACTAGAACGAAATTCTGAATGCAAAAGTGATGATGTAATAACTGAAAAGGAACAGACGTGTGTGGTGTTGTTGCTGTAATTTTTCGTTTCGCAAAAAATAAAAAAGAAATGATTCTCTAAATTTAGAGATGGGACAACAACAAATTGCGATATATAAAAATATGAAAATAATGAAATTAAGAAAACTCTCAAATTCAGGCTGGGTTTCATTCATAAATGTCGTCAATTTATGATTTAACTTTGCTTTGTTCTTAAAAAATTGTAGCTAATTTAACGGAAAATTCGATTTTGAATTTGAATTGTAGTTCAAAATTTGAACCCGACAATTTTAAATTCTTAATTTCCGTTGTATTTCAAAAAAGAATATTTTCAAAGCAATTCTATTCAATTAGATTTTTTAAGGCTCAACCAGGGGCTCAACAAAAAGAACATCATTAATCCACAAATCCCAGACTTTTAGCAACAAACAATTTGAGATAATTAATTTGTTTGCTCTTCGGCGCATTTTCCTTTTCTTTTCTCGTCATTACTTTTACTTTCATTCAGTTTGTTTATTATCATTATCGCTAGCTAGCATGTAACATGAGTCGACATAGAAATTATTGTGATTCACTATGGAAATCTTGCAACATCCAATTAAATCGCCCTTGACTGTTGACTAGTTCCATTTGCATGTAAAAAATTTTTTTTTATCTGATAATGACCTTGAAGTGTTACGTTCACACATGCGAGGAGTGAACTATTAAATTTATTTACAAAAAAGCACCACTCAAATGAAAATGAGGTGAATATTTCCACTCTGAAAATTTGTGAGCTGTCGAGGATATTTTTTTTTATGAAGCATTACTTGAAGCTTATGAAGGTATTTACATCGTTTCACGAGCGAGCCTTGATAAGTTGTTATCAAAGTGTATTTTTCTTTCTTCTTAGAGCTACTTTTGTTATTGCTAGAAGCAAATACTTCTTTACAAAAGACGTTACACGAGTGTCATGCCACTCAACAAGTAAACTGCTATTCTGCAAGTTTTATAAATTCAACATCATAGTTGGTCTGATAACGTATTTTTTTATGACTATAAAAATGTGGCTGACTGTGTCAGCAGATTCTCGGAAATTACAATTACGATAAAATAATTTTCCCTGACAATTTTGTTGCTATGTTAAAGGCTTGTAGACGTCAATCAATTCGGTGGGGAAAACTGATATCGGATATACATTTTTCATTAACAAATTAGACATATATCCAATTAATATGATTTTTATTCTGATTAAACGCTTGATTGGAATTTGTTTTCCTCTGAGTTGCTTCAAAAGCATACAAATAAATGATTTTTTTGATACAAAAGTTTAAAGAATTTAAAACATTACAACAGTGATGCTTCAGAACAATTCAAATGTTTTGAAAAGTCGAATTTGTACGGTTTTACTTTCAAAATATTTAAACTCGTTTTTCAAATTAAAAACCTTACAACAGCTAAGAATCTTAAACATTTGTAAGGTTCTAAATTTAACTGATTTTCTCCCAACTATTCATTCAATGCGTTTCCGTCCTCAATCGAATCAGCACATCCACACACTTTCTTCCATCACGCAAACAAAAAATGAAAAGTTTAACTGCTTAAAACAAGCAAGACCGTCCCATAAATTTTCATTAACTCAGATCCAGTAACTTTGTAACGATTAATAATGTAAGGCATTTTATGACCTATTTTAATGTATCATCAAACTTAGTGAGTCACATAGTTTCGCTGCAGAATGATTTAATGCGAGAAAATCTCGTATCCACAATCAATGATAAATGCCAGCCATTACATTATATCCTAGATTTTCAAGGAAACATCCTCGATTAGATAAACGATTAAGGCTTAATAGACACACAATTGGATCGTAATGGATTGTCTATTTAATTACCACAGCTAATAAATTTATTGCATCGAGTAGATAGCAATGCCTTACTTATATGATGAGTAAACAAAAAATAAGTTCCTGATAACAGCATAAAGCGATGACAAGTATCAAAATAGCTCTCTTTATGACAATTTTCATTTTATTGATCGTGTGTTATATCATGTATCACGATATTCAATACCATTGTTCCTGTCTTTGACATTGAATTTAACTCATTTCATTTTGCTTGCAGTCGAAACGGATCTTTTGCTCGCTCATATCCAAATCTCGCAATTTGCGGCTCCCATCCAATAAATGCTCAAATTCGTCACCATCATGAAGTTACAGGAGACATCATCGTACCATCAATGGTTATGGGTAATTAGCAACATTAAATATGTTAATTGATTTGCTAATTATTCCAAACTTTTAGGCATTGATCATTTGAGGGATCCACGATTAAATAAAGGTCTTGCCTTCTCATTACAAGAGCGTCAAGTTCTTGGTATTCACGGGTTGCAGCCAGCACGTATAAAGTCTCAAGAGGAGCAACTTGAATTGTGCAAAATATCAATTATGAGGTAACGTATAAGGAAGTCATGTGAAATAAATTGAATTAAATAAGGTCACATGAAATAAAAACCGGGAAAAGAATGTATTTTATTGATTTTTCCTATTTGCATGTCTTATTCTTTTTCTTTCTTTTCAGATATCAAGAGGATTTAAATAAATATCTTTATTTGGTGGACTTACAGGTATTTATCAATTGCATAAGTTATTGGCTATTGATTTATTCCTATTGTGCTTTACTTTTAGGATCGTAATGAAAGACTCTTCTTCAGATTGGTGTCTGAGAACTGCGAAATGATGATGCCAATTATTTATACACCAACGGTAATAATAAAAGCTATTATTTAATAGTTGGCGGATGTACTTAAGTAATTTTGCAAGACTATTTTAATTCGCTTGATAGGAGAATAATTTTGAAATTATTTTTATTCATCTCTGACCTACTTTTGGGGATGCATTTCTTGATTTTCTCAAAAACCGCAAAACTATATATTAACGGTTTTTTAAAATTCAAACATAAAGTTCAAATTTTGAACTCTAAATCCTCTCTTTAAATTTAAAAAATACGGTAAATTTTTTGATTAATTTTACAATTCACGAATGCTTGACATGCTTTTCAATTCATGACGACAGCACAATAAATATCCTGTCATTCACATCTTGCATAAATACTCTACATAATCCTTCGATTTACATCACACGCTACATAAATGAGACACGATTATTGACAGAACTAAACAACCTTTATCTTTTTAGGTAGGCTTAGCATGTCAGAAATTCGGATTAATCTACAGGCGTCCAAGAGGCTTATTTGTGACATTTAATGACAAAGGTCACGTATTTGATGTCATTAAGAATTGGCCAGAACCAGACGTAAGAGCTATTGTTGTCACTGATGGAGAGCGAATTCTTGGACTTGGTGATTTAGGTGCACAGGGGATGGGCATACCTGTCGGGAAATTGGCTTTATATACAGCATTAGCTGGAATCAAACCACATCAATGTTTGCCTATTGTTATTGATGTTGGCACAAATAATAAGGAATTACTTGAAGATCCACTCTATGTTGGGCTTAGACAACCACGTGTGTCGGGACAGGCTTATGATGATTTTATTGATGAGTTCATGCAAGCTGTTGTGAAACGTTATGGACAGAATACTTTAATTCAATTCGAAGATTTTGGAAATCACAATGCATTTAGATTCTTAGATAAGTATCGTGATACTTATTGTACTTTTAATGATGATATTCAAGGCACAGCGGCTGTTGCCGTTGCCGGTTTAATTGCGTCAAAACGCGTGACTGGAAGGAAGTTGAGTGAAAATAAGATTCTCTTCCTTGGTGCTGGAGAGGTAAGTCAATGTCTATACTTTACAGTATTTTATGTCTGAGTAATTCTTTGTGCTTGTAGGCTGCCATCGGAATTGCCGATTTATGTGTTAAGGCAATGATGACTGAAGGAACATCACAAGAAGAGGCTCGCGAGAAGATTTGGATGGTGGATATTGATGGGCTTTTAGCTAAAGGCAGACCCGAGGGTAAATTAGGGGGACACAAATGGTATTATGCAAAGGAACATGAAGTCATGAAAGATTTCACTGAAATTGTAAGAGAAGTACAGCCATCAATTTTGATTGGTGCTAGTGCTGCCGGGGGAGCATTTAAACCTGAAATTTTGGAAATGATGGCTGAATTTAATGAACGACCAATTATTTTCGCATTATCAAACCCTACAAGCAAGGCTGAATGTACTGCCCAACAAGCTTATACTGCTACTAAAGGAAAATGCATTTTCGCATCCGGATCACCATTCGGAACTGTTGAATATGAGGGAAAAGTATTTGAGCCGGGTCAAGGAAATAATGTGAGCAGCTTTTTTTTTAATATCTTGAATTTAAAGCTAAATGTGTCTTTATTTTTAGGCATACATCTTTCCCGGTATTGCATTGGGGGTTATCGCAACAGGCACCCATCATATTCCAGAGGATATGTTTTTGATTGCAGCTGAAACAATTGCAAAGCATGTGACCGACGAAGACATACAAAAGGGTTCTTTATATCCTCCATTATCAGTTATTCAAGAGTGTTCATTTGACATTGCCATTGGAATAACTAAATATGCTTATGCTAAAGGTAAAAGTTTTGTGAATTTAATGGATTTGTAAGGTTTTGGAGCATTTTCAAAGTAATTTGTATGGTTTTAGCCTGTTTGAATTTAAAAAAACCCGTTACTTTTTGGGAATTTGTACGATTTTAACGGTTTTTTTAAAACATTTGTATGGTTTTTCGGAATAATTTGTTCGGATTTCAAAAAAACTTTTTAAAAAAACTACGTTTTTCGCGTAGACTAAAAAGTAGAAAATAACTTTTATTCTTGGTTGTAAAGAATTTGGTTTTAAATTTTCAGATTATATTTAATAAATTTTTATATCCTAGTCAATATTGTTCACAAAGTTTCGAATAAGTGCACTTTGATCTTATCGTATAACTCAACAACTTAAAAACGTGGGCGCATTAATTTAAGTTTATCATAAAGTATTGATTTCACATAAACTTATTTCTCCTCTTATAATGCGCCCACGTTTTTAAGTTGTTGAGTTATACGATAAGATCAAAATGCACTTATTCGAAACTTTGTGAACAATATTGACTAGGATATAAAAATTTATTAAATATAATCTGAAAATTTAAAACCAAATTCTTTACAACCAAGAATAAAAGTTATTTTCTACTTTTTAGTCTACGCGAAAAACGTAGTTTTTTTAAAAAGTTTTTTTTATAAAGTATTTTATTTTCAACTTTTTAGTCTTATTCTAATGAAATAGAGAAATAAAGATTATAGGGGGTTTATAGGTTACAGGTGTGTTGAACTTCACTTCGTTGCACTTCGTTACGTTCAACTGTTTATAGATTACAGTAGGTTTATAGGTTACAGGTGTGTTGAACTTCACTTCGTTGCACTTCGTTACGTTCAACTGTTTATAGATTACAGTAGGTTCATAGGTTACAGGTGTGTTGAACTTCACTTCGTTGCACTTCGTTACGTTCAACTGTTTATAGATTACAGTAGGTTTATAGGTTACAGGTGTGTTGAACTTCACTTCGTTGCACTTCGTTACGTTCAACTGTTTATAGATTACAGTAGGTTCATAGGTTACAGGTGTGTTGAACTTCACTTCGTTACACTTCGTTACGTTCAACTGTTTATAGATTACAGTAGGTTTATAGGTTACAGGTGTGTTGAACTTCACTTCGTTGCACTTCGTTACGTTCAACTGTTTATAGATTACAGTAGGTTTATAGGTTACAGGTGTGTTGAACTTCACTTCGTTGCACTTCGTTACGTTCAACTGTTTATAGATTACAGTAGGTTTATAGGTTACAGGTGTGTTGAACTTCACTTCGTTGCACTTCGTTACGTTCAACTGTTTATAGATTACAGTAGGTTCATAGGTTACAGGTGTGTTGAACTTCACTTCGTTGCACTTCGTTACGTTCAACTGTTTATAGATTACAGTAGGTTTATAGGTTACAGGTGTGTTGAACTTCACTTCGTTGCACTTCGTTACGTTCAACTGTTTATAGATTACAGTAGGTTCATAGGTTACAGGTGTGTTGAACTTCACTTCGTTACACTTCGTTACGTTCAACTGTTTATAGATTACAGTAGGTTTATAGGTTACAGGTGTGTTGAACTTCACTTCGTTGCACTTCGTTACGTTCAACTGTTTATAGATTACAGTAGGTTCATAGGTTACAGGTGTGTTGAACTTCACTTCGTTACGTTCAACTGTTCATAGATTACAGTAGGTTCATAGGTTACAGGTGTGTTGAACTTCACTTCGTTGCACTTCGTTACGTTCAACTGTTTATAAATTACAGTAGGTTCATAGGTTACAGGTGCGTTGAACTCCACTTCGTTGCACTTCGTTACGTTCAACTGTTTATAGATTACAGTAGGTTCATAGGTTACAGGTGTGTTGAACTCCACTTCGTTGCACTTCGTTACGTTCAACTGTTTATAGATTACAGTAGGTTTATAGATTACAGGTGTGTTGAACTTTACTTCGTTGCACTTCGTTACGTTCAACTGTTTATAGATTACAGTAGGTTCATAGGTTACAGGTGTGTTGAACTCCACTTCGTTGCACTTCGTTACGTTCAACTGTTTATAGATTAGAGTAGGTTTATAGGTTACAGGTGTGTTGAACTTCACTTCGTTGCACTTCGTTACGTTCAACTGTTTATACATCACAGTAGGTTTATAGGTTACAGGTGTGTTGAACTTCACTTCGTTGCGTTCAACTTTTTATAAATTACCAGTTTTCAATGGGAAATTAGTAACGACTTTCAAAATTTTTCATTCGTTTTATAAAATTTAATTTTTTTAAAGCATTCATTAGTAAAGTACATTAAAAATCACTCGTTAAGATTTTGTGTTTATCTGTACCATTTCTACTTCATAACGTGTGGATTCTTACTATAAAGATGCAAATCACATATGTAACGTATTTATAACGGATTTTCAAATTTAAATTCAATGAATATCATTTATATGTTATGCAAAAATACGCCAAGCCGTTAATAAAAAGAAAAGTCAATTTAATTAAGTTGGTGAAGTGTTATAAATAATGCAATACATTTAAAACAGCTGAATTTATGCTCAAACTATGTGTGTTAAATGCACATCGCATATTAATAGTTATTTTGCATTAATTCGTAACGGACTTGTGCTTAACGGTTTTTTTGAAAATTCAAATTTTCACTTACGAATATTCATGAAAAAATTACATGTCAATTTTTTTGTCTTACCAGAATATCTTTAGCTGCTCAAATTTATGGTATAATTAATAATTAGTAATATTAATTAAACTATAATGAATCATATAAATGACTTTAGAGCATCACAAGTATAATATTTAATGCAAATCAAAATTTTATATCATTGACATTGGATTTTTTCCCATATAAAAAAGTTTTACATAAATTGTACTATAATTAAGCATTTTTGTGTATCCAAAGTGTTAAAATATTGTATTGTCACCGGGAATACGTGTGAATAAAAAATTTGAGCTCGATTGGAGCAGTAGAAGTGGTCGAAAAATCGATTACAAGATTTGCCCTCGACAATCAAACAGATAAGAAAGCAAGTTAAGAAAAACGTAGTAAAATACGCTTAACTTTGAATTTTTTACCCCTACCTATGAATTCTCATGGACGTTGCTTGAAAAAAAAATCTATTTACACGTTTGATACAGATGATGAAAATGCGCCAGAAACCGGCTGTTTACTAATTGTTTACGATCGTCTATAAAATCTCTTAATGCATCTTCTTATTTTTGTTTTCGATTCAAACAATATTCAGGTTTAGCAAGTTTGTATCCAGAGCCAACAGACAAGAAATCGTGGTTGAAGGATCAATTGTATACATTTAATTATGAATGTTCTATGCCCAAAACGTGGGCATGGCCAGAGATGCCTCACATAACAACAAGACCATTAGAGAAACCCACCATCCTTCATAAGTAAGGATAAGAAATAAGATTTAAAAAACTAATTGACGACACCTTTTCTTCTTCATCCCTTATGTCTCATTGTTTTCATTATTAATCCGTAATCTCAACAAAAAACAATTAACTCAAAATAAATGATATGTTTGAAAAAAATATTTTGTCAAGTTCTTATTACTTCCCATATTCCCAAAACAATAAATTGTTAATAAATTTTTATTTGTCATTTAAAGGTCAAAATTTACAATAGTTAAAAGATTCGATTATAAAAGTGGAAATGTCATAGGTTGAGGTAGTTGTTCTACATAAAATATTGAGTACCTAATTCAATAAGTATAAAAATCATGTTTAAAGTTAACGGTTTTAAAGAATTTGAAAATTATATGGAGATAACAAAAATTCGAAAAAGCGAAACATTTGAATTTCTTAAATTCGTTATTATAATAGGCACTCACAATATTTCAATTAATCTCATGCCTTAGCGTGGATTTCGTCTTGTGCAACCTTCATGACTTCCAAAGCATTATTGTCAATCAATTTTTGGGCTAATTCGATTCCAAGATTTTCACATTTTTCAAAAATGTGACGTAAAGATTCAGTGTGGCAGAATAATCCGCAGTATAATGTGACTTCCTTCATGCCAGCAATCAAGGACTTCTTTTCAGATGTATCTTGCTTTGCCTTCTCTTCGTAGTCAATCATTTCGACTGGCTTATCATCTTTTTCACGTTGTTGCTTAAGGAATGGACACTTTTCGTATGCTTCATCTGGAATTTCATGTTTCTCTTTTTCAGTAAATGGACATGCTGTACATGGAACATCTTCTTTTGGTTCGCAATCAGCTGAGAATGACACTTTTTGTTCAGTATTTAAAATTGGACATTGACCCATAAAATCTTGTCCAATCTTAAATTTAGACAAGTCAAACTTTCTGTCACATTTAGATTCACATTCTCCTGGACATTTCTTTACAGCACCGTCTTTTGGACACATTTTTCCATGAATTGTAACAAGATCTTCCATATCAAGTTTATATGGACTTTCGTCAATGACTTCAGCACTAACATCCTCACCAGCACTAAGTTTTTGTCGCTTTACTGGACCAGGATCAGATTTTGGACTTTCAGCTTCGAAAATCAAATTGCACGAGATATTATTTTTAATTTCAGTATCGCCATTTAACGACCAAACAGCACCATCAACATCTAATGAATATTCACCATTTAATGAATTAGGAATTTCATTTAGTACGGTATTAACAGCAACAGGTGCAGAACAACCACCACCGAGTGTCTTTAAGAAACTTCTTTCAACCAAAATTCGGCACTGAGTCTTAATATCACATAATTTTGACAATAAATCCAGTACGAAAGTATCATTTGCACGACATTCAACAGCTAAGGCACCTTGACCAACAGCATATAACAAATCAGATGGTTCAAGAACTTGATCAACACGCTTTAACCATCCCATTCTTACCAAACCAGCATGAGCTAGAATAATTCCCGCAAATTTCGATGCTGGTGCATCCAATTTAGCTAAACGAGTATTTAAATTTCCACGAATATCGCAGATATTAAGGTGGCTATAGTAACGTGACAGTTGAGCTGCTCTACGAAGAGATGAAGTTCCAATAAGAGAGCCTTTTGGAAGTGTTGATAATTTACTTCCAATAAACTTGTTGTTCAAAACTAAGGCATCACGTGCATCATCACGTTCAAGAATAGCACCAACAGCCATTCCAGTTGGCAATTGAGTTGGAAGATCTTTAAGAGAGTGAACGACAAAATCGACACCGCCATGTTCGAGAGCATCTTCTAAATCCTTTGTAAATAAAGATTTTTCACCAATTTTAGGCAATGAAATGCCCAAAACTCGATCACCCATTGTTGTCATCGTATCTTTGAAGGAAGTAAACAGTTAATTATTTAAATTGAATAATTTGAGCACGTATAGACATGCGATTATGCTCATAACATCTTCTCACGTACAGACAACAAAAAAGGAATGTGTGTGAGAGAAAATGAAAGCTTTATCAATTTTAGAAGGTACGGACGAGACTTTATGCTGATAACATAATCGAATGTCCACTAATAGTAATGAAATTTGTCACTTACGAATCTCAAATTTCACATTTGGATAAAGCTTTTGCAGCAAGGAGATTACATGTCTTGTCTGAATAAGTGCAAGCTATAGACGAAAGAAGAGAATAAATTAAAGAAATGAATTCGTGAAGGTTAAAAGACGCGTTTCGCAAATTGCCAATTTGGTGACGCAATCACTGATAATAAGTCCATCTTACCTCACTCTTCCTGGATCCTACTTTTATGACTTCACGATAATCACTTTCTTTTGTTGACATCTTGTCTAGCTTTGTTTATATCTATTTTGATCGGCGATTTATATACAGACTTGATATTATCTAGCTTATTATACACTTTTTCGTTGATGACAAGTGCTACGCTTGATATCCAGTGATTCTTAGCTGCCTTAGCTATCAGTTGCACTGTGAATTGGTATTAAACTCTTATTAGAAACCAGTTAATTAATTAAATTAAAATGAGTGATGTGACCTACCGAACTGACACGCGAAATTTGAATGGACCTGTTTTTTAAATTTTAAATGACCGTTATGCAGTTGATGGGTTGATAACTTTTTCGCATCACTTGGTCATGTGATTGATGCAAAATCGTTTTCGTGAAAATAAAATCAATAAAGTGAAAATTATTTAATTTAACTAATTTAACGATGACATACTTACCTTTTTTCGTCTTTACTGGAATCTTTGCTATCGTTGGCATCGTCCTTCCCATCGTTGCTCCAAAAGGACCCAATAGAGGGTAAGTTATTCAATAAAATATTTAGATTTCAAATTTTGCACTTTAAAATATATCCTTAATTTCTTTAGAATCGTTCAGTGTGTCCTCATACTCACGGGAGCGTGTTGCTGGTTGTTGTAAGTATCAAATGAAATGCATCCAGTAAAGTTATTAATACTTGTTTCTTTTCAGCTGGCTTTGTTGCTATATGGCTCAAATGAATCCATTGATTGGACCAAAATTGCATCAGAACACAATTCTCATTATGGCTAGAGAATGGGGAAATATGATCAATTTGACAGAGACAATCGAGCCTCATGCTGTTGGTCATTAAACAAATAACATCGTGCATGCATCAATCATCCAGAAATCATTATATATCTTGATATATGAAACTTATTTGTGAAAAATTATAGTGTAAATTGCTAGGTGTTAAAATATACATATGTGCAAGCATCAGACTTAACACGATTATTATATGTCAGGATAATCGACATTGATTTAATTTATTTTTGATTAAAACTGTATAAATGTTTTTTGTGTTTGAAAACCGTACAAATATCAAGTTTCCATCGGGAATTGTATGGTTTTATGTTGGTTTGTAAAACATTTGAATGGTTTTTCACAAAACCGTTAAAATCATCCCGCAAAAATATGTAAAATATAATTTAATTTATCTTCTTTCCATTTTCATGATCGTTTCATTAGTTAAATAACTTTGAAAAATCGTTTCAAATGATTCCAAATATGTTCACTGTAATTATAAAGAAAGGCATAAATTAATATAAAAGTTAATAAAAAATATGTTTAAAAATCAATGAATTAAATTACTCTATATTTAAAAGAGTCAATCTTATGTCTTTAAACATTTTTCTACATAATTAATTGCATCATTAATGCTCATGTCATTGACATAATTATTCTTTAAGTCATGAACTTCAATTGATGGATTTTGTGAGTCAGCTGATTTTGATCCAATGACAATCAAGTACGGAATTCCCAACTTTTTCATGTCCATAAGACGCTTTCCGATAGTCATGTGAGTTCTATCATCAATTATTATATCATCTAAATGTGATAAATTGTTGTAAATTTCCATGTCTAAATGCGTTGTTATTGCTTCTTCTTTACTTCCTTCTTTTGGTGGCAGGATGCAGACTTTATATGGAGCTAATTCTTGTGACCATCGAATTTCAGTCTCACTTGAGAATAGTTCTATTGAGGCAGCAATCAATCGAGTAACTCCAATTCCATAACATCCCATTTGTAGATATTCAGGCTTTCCTGATTTATTAAGGAACGAAGCCTTGAGTAATTTTGAGTATCTGTCTTCTAGGATAAATGTATGTCCAATTTCAATGCCTTGCTCATTTTTGAGATCATTTTCGCAACATTTCTCGCAAATTTTGCCATCCTTTGCAAGTTCACGATTTATTGCATGACAGCACTTTGGGCATGAGATGATTGAGTCCTCGCCTATTTCCGTTATTATATGATATTCATGTGAAATCTTTCCACCCATATTTCCTGTATCAGCAGTGATCTTTACGAACGGAACTTTAAGGTGATTAAGAATTTTTGCATACTGTTCATTGACTGCATCATAAGTCTTCTTAGCTTTCTCTAAATTAATGTCAAACGTGTACATGTCCTTCATTAGAAACTCTTTAGCTCTCAACAGCCCGAATTTCGGTCTAAGCTCATCGCGGAACTTTGGTGTTATTTGATACAACCTAAGTGGAAGACTTTTGTATGATACTGGCGAGATTGAAGCTATCAAATTTGTCACTGACTCTTCATGAGTCTAAAAGGGTTTTAAGCTTTATTTATTTACTGGATCATGAAACCATTTTAATAACAACTTACAGGACTCAGAATCTGTGTTCTTTCGTGTCTATCCTTTGTGATCATCAGTTCTGTAGCTGCAGTTTCAAATCTTCCAGATTTCTTCCACAAATCAGCAGCTGTTAATGTAGGCATCGTCAACTTTTGTCCATCAATCTCACTCATGTATTTGTCAATAATCCGAATCAATTTCTCCATAGATCTTTGAAGTAAAGGCAGGATATAGTAAGTTCCATTTCCACAATGCTTAATTAGTCCTGTATCTATCATAAGCTTTAATAAATATGAATTAATGAGTTGATTGAGTTAATTATTAAATGATATTACCTTCTGACTCTTTGAGTGTAGTTCCTGGTTCTTGACAACAGCATTTTTTGGCACAATTAATTGGGGAAAAAATATTTTAGAGAATCTATTCATTGTTGGTGTTTTTTTTTTTGGTGGTCCTAGATTTGGATAACTGCAAAAGTTGTAAAACCCTTTAAATTATTCAAATCAAAGACACGCAAAGTTTCATTCCCCTGTGATTTTCTGCGTCTTTAGCTCATTTTGAAGAATATATATCTCTAATTCTTGTGTTTTGACTGTCAGTACATCGGTAGTTTGAGTGCTCCTTAATGCTATTGTCTGCTTAAAAATATAAAATTAGTTTTAACTGTTATTTTCAAAATAATTTGACAGTTGAAATTATGTTTTCCTTACTTAAACTTATTTTCTCTCTAGTTTCGATTCTTTGCTAGTTTAAATGCGCTTCTGACAATCTCAATGGACAGCACGTCTATACCAACTATAAACTGTCGCTTCTTTTTAATTCTGAAGCAAATTCTGTGAAGTCTTCATTAAAACGTAAGAATTAATTAAGTTATTTATTACAAGGCTTTAATAAATTTAAGTGATATTATAAGTAAGAGAAATCATTATTCTTAAGGTTTTAAGTGAAAGGAAGTTAAGGGAATTGCGAATTATAAGAAAATTATCGATTTAAGTTTTCTGGATAATTTTTCCATGTTTCGGAGAATTTAATGATTGCATAACTTGTCTACTCTAAGGTTTACGAGTGATCATGACTAATGAGCATGATACAATAAATACTTAATTGATAATAGTCATATTCCAGTCAGTTTAGGGATTTTGGAATTGATAAGAAGAAGAAATTTTGATTTAACCATTAAGTTTTCGTCTAGCCTAGCTGTACACTTATCTTATTGATCATACATGGAATCAATAAAATGATTATGTGACATTGAATTTTCTGCTCACTACTATTGCTGTTGACGTAGACTATTAAGAGCAAGGCTTAATTGTCATTTTATTTGCAATTTTACAGAACAGATCCCAGCAAAATGTTTTCATCATTGATTGACGCAGCCCGTAACTCTCCATTCAAAGCTCCAGTAGCAAGATGTGAAGAATCCAGTGATAACAAACAATTGGTCCCAACAAGAAATATTCAAGCTGCTGCTGCTAATCCAGGCGAGGCTTGTGAATTTGGATCACTTCATTATTTCGCATTGTGCGGTGTTGGAGGCATTTTGTCATGCGGAACTACTCATACATTCGTTGTCCCATTGGATTTAGTCAAGTGCCGTCTTCAAGTCAACTCGGCTAAATACAAGAACTTGTTCAATGGATTCAGAGTAACCGTAAGTAGTCATAATAAGCATATAAGCATAAAAACTTATGTAATGCAATTTATGCATATTTCTTCGTTTTCAATTAAGGTCGCTGAAGAAGGCGCTCGTGGATTAGCAAAGGGATGGGCACCAACAGCTTTTGGATATTCAGCTCAAGTAAGTGCATTATTCACGTGATGTACAATAACAACGTTTTTATCTTATCGTGGTGACAAATGTCTTAATTAGAGCGTCATCACTTCATTGCTATTTCATTTTGTCTTGAAGATTAATTTAATTATCATTTACTGGATATTTTTAGGGGCTCTTCAAGTTTGGTTTATATGAAGTCTTCAAAGTTTATTATGCTGAAATTTTGGGAGAAGAGAATGCCTATTTGTGGCGTACAGGATTGTACTTGGCAGCATCTGCATCAGCTGAATTCTTTGCTGACATTGCATTGGCTCCATTTGAGGCTGCAAAGGTCAAGATTCAAACATCAGAAAACTTTGCCAGTACATTGCGTGCAGCTATGCCAAGAATGTATGCCGATGAAGGAATTTCAGCATTCTATAAAGGTTTAGTTCCATTATGGATGCGTCAAATTCCATACACTATGATGAAGTTTGCATGCTTCGAAAAGACTGTCGAAGTTCTCTACAAATATGTCGTTCCAAAACCACGTGCAGACTGCAGCAAAGGAGAACAACTTATCGTTACATTCGCTGCTGGTTATATTGCTGGTGTCTTCTGTGCTATTGTCTCACATCCTGCTGATGTCGTCGTCTCAAAATTAAATCAAGCCAAGGGATCATCAGCCATTGATGTTGCAAAGAAACTCGGATTCGGTGGAATGTGGCAAGGATTAGGACCTCGTATTGTTATGATTGGTACACTCACTGCCCTCCAATGGTTCATCTATGACGGTGTTAAAGTAGCTTTGCAAATCCCACGACCACCACCTATGGAAATGCCGTAAGTTTTAGATTTGTGCTTTATTTTAATCCAAGGATTTAATTTAAATCTTGCGAAATGCAAACTTTACTGATAAACTTTATTTATTTTTAATTACAGAGCATCACTTAAAGCCAAGCTTGGAGTTGAATAAGCTGCATAAACAAAAACAACAACAACAACTGATATATAAACTTAAATAAGCTCTTATAGAAGTAGACTCGTCGCAAAAAAAATTAAATTTAATAACTTTATTTCTTCTTCTTCTGTCATTCCAACAATTGTGTTTTGTTTAGTATTCTTTTATTCTCTATATCCCACATTGGTTGGAAAGGAAACACAGGTAAACATGAACGTTCCGAGCATTTTCTATTTTTGAAAAATGGATGAAATTGTAACATTCTTTAACTTAATTTAAATTTTCTTTCTTCGAAGACGATTTTATTTTTTCTATTGCTTCGCTCGATTTTAGTTTAATTTCTAATAATTAATTATCGAATTGTAACGTGACATGAGTATGTTAATTATAAATAAATAGCAAAAAAAAAAACCGTTGAAAGAAACACAACAATTAATAAAGATCGAAAAAAAAAATCCAAAAAATTTAAAGTTGTTTTGTCTTTATATTGTTTCTTTACAGCATGCAGCAAAAGAGTTTAAGTTTCAACGTAAACTTGATTTTTAAAGTTTGAAGACTTAAGAAGTGATATAATCAAGGAAAAAGTTGGTAATAAAGTAATGTCCTCAATGGTTTGAACCTAGACACCTTTCGACTGTTGTTTAAGTGCTCAAACCATTAAGCTAACCGTCATTAATAATTGCAACCATGAAAAAATTGCAATAGTGGTCTAAACTTAAGAACACCCCTTTAAAAAAATGGTACAAATTCATAGACCCCCTGCCCCCCTCCTATATTTTTATTCAAGTTCAAATTATTCTTAAAAATCCTCAGTCAAGAAATGGCATAAGAAAGTTCTTACGACTGAACTTCGTATTGTTGTAAAAAATTATAATTTTGTTGAAGTATTTCCAAGCCTTTAAAAATGACTTAAAAGTTTTAAATTTAAAGACTCTAAACGTATTAAAACCAAGCTTAAGTTTTTATCAAGTTTTGTATAAAGGCAAAATATTGGAAAACCAAAGATTGTCAACATATTGTAGCTATTGGCAGAAAATGATTTTGAAACAGTTTTAGCTATTTCATTGGAAACATAAATATTCTTTTAAATGGCTCTACAAATTTATTTGATCATGATTAGCTCCAAAATAATCCATATAACAATTCAATGCATTAATAATCATTTTCTGATCATGCTCAATTTTGTTTATCTTCTCTTCTTTGAATTCAATTCGGGGTTGAAAAATTTCATTTCGAATAAAAGTTCGATATTGTTTTGTAGGGTTTCTAAAATGCGACACTTTTCAAAAACGAACCGTTAGCAGGTCGATTGATGAAATTAAAATTATAATGTTAACTTCATAAATTAATTGATAAGTTTTAAAGAATTACAAACAAAAAGGATTTCAACATTGTTGAAGATCGCTTATTTATTTTTGACAAATTATTGACATTAGCCGGCTTTTTTGTTTACTTTCACACAAAGCGTGTACGTTTTTGTATTTATTTACTTACTCACTGTGCTTGTTATTTTAAAAGTTTGACCATCTTCATTCAGAAGTCTAATTATCTTCAAGACACCCCTCCCTTACCCCCCCCCCCCTCTCAATTTTTTTTTCTTGCAAAATATTTTTAAAATTAATTTTTACAAAGCTGATCCTAATCTTTAGATAATAGCTTAATCACTGCCTGAACAAGTACAAAAGCAAGCTGACATGAAAAAGAAAAAAAAAGGTTTGGAAGGAAAACGAAGGATAACAAAATTGACCGTTTTCTGTGTTCGGTTTTTCTACGCGCTAATAGCTGTTTGTCGTTCTCCTTTAGCGACTTCAGAAACCCTAACTGGTTGTTAAAAATACGTTATTTTTCTCTTTATAATAATTTTTTGTTATTTATTGTTTTAATTTATATTATTTAAGTTTATATTTGCATATTTAAATATTTTGAAACCTAGCAACTAGTTATTAAGCTAGTCACTGCTTAAAAAATAAAAAATCTATATTGCAAATTTTTATATGCAAACAAATTTTTCAAATTACTGGATTTTTGAAATTTAAAAGAATTTAATTATCGAAATAATGGACAAAGTGTAAGGTTGAGCTTTAGAAATTGTCAAAATGTGTTAAAAATTGCTTGGTGTTTTAAAAGAGGAAGAGGATTCAGTATTACGGCTCAGTCGAATCGTAGACAAGCAAAAATATTTCAAAGAATATTAAATTTGAAGAACATTGAAGAGTAAGATTGGTAAGTTACAAAACATAATTATAATAAATGTTGTATTGTAGCATTGATATTGATAAGGATTAAATTGCAAGGATAAATATAACAAACTTTAATTAAGCTAATTTCATAATTATATTAAAAAAAGTTATATTATTCATTAAACATACATGAATTTACTATCACTAATTGACTGATAAGTGATAATAAATGTTCATCTTATCATATTCGATTCATTCTTAATGAAAACAACATAAAATGTAGACTTTGTTGTTGATCTAAACTCAAACATTAAGAGAAGACTTTTCAAAAGGGTAGTTGCAAAAACGTCAAGGAAAATAAGAGGAACTATTATTTAGGGTTTCTAACGGCGGTTCTTTGAAAACTGAAAGACCATTTTTGATGTTGAAAATTTCTAAATTCAACAGGTTGTAAATAGCTGATTTTAAATGATTATTTTCAATATTGAACAGGCAATTGAACCCTTTGCATTCGAACAAAATTAACTTATTCTGAAAAATCAATGTCAAGGCACTTGATGATAATGAGTAATTATTGAAATGTTTTAATTAAAAGTCAAGAAATCGTTCACTTATTCTTTGACTCTTGAATAGGACTTTTTAAACTTCAAAAAATATAAGATTTAAATTTAAAAGTGTGGTTAAGTGGTTCCCAAAATGACGCATTCAGAAACCCTATTACAAACCGTAAAAAACATTTGAATGGTTTTACTAAAATAGAATTAGAATAAGAAGGATAAAATAAAGGTTGAATTAAATTTAAGAAGTAAGAGAATAGTCAGAAATAAAACGTTTAATAAATAACAAGTGAGATAAAAAAAGGTAAGTTATTCTGTATAGTTTAACCTTACATTTAAATGTTTTGAGTTGAAGTAAGGATCAACTTTAGTTGATTTAACCAACTTATAACTTTGATTATGAAAAATGATTCCAAACACCAAAAAAATGGTGTAACTTAAGGATATAATTTTTAACCAATTAACAAGCTTATCAATGATTTAAATTATTAATAATAAATATGCTAATGCTTGGTTAGCTATCTTTAACTTTGACTTAAGAAGAAGCAATAAAATGGCAATAATGTGTCAAATATAGAAAGTGTATACATGAGATTTGCTGGGATATACATGGTATGAAAGATTGTTAAATCTGCGTTTTTTTTTGCTTTACTAAAGAACGGACGTTATTTTACCTGACTGATTTTTCTTTTTCAAACTATGCATTGAGAACCGACTGCAGTTTTTGTAGTGAACGCAAATTCTGATATCCTTGACGGTCGTTTTATAATTATGAGTTATATTTAAGAACTAGGCTATCCGGAGGCGCCCGTGGCGCCTCTTATCAGGGTTAAAATTTGATTACTATTATGTAAATAACTGTAAGACGCAAATAACCATAATGTTTTTAAGGTCAATCCTACCACAAAACTTCACATGGCCTCACAACCCTCCTCAAACTCGGACCCCCTTATTCCCTCAAAAATTTTATAAATGGCTTCACAAACTCCCCCAAACTCGAACTTCCTTAATCCCGCAAAAACTTTATAAATAGCTTCACAACACTTCTAATGGCTTCACAAACCTCCTCAAACTCGGACCCCCTTAATCCCACTAAAACTTTAATTCCCCCGAAACCCACCATGTCTTTTCACAAAGCTTCGCATGGCTTCACAAAATTTTATATGGCTTCACAAAATATTCCTGACACCAAACTTTTCCCACAAGCCCCCTCAAATTCGGACCCCCCCACTTTGCCCCCCAATTGACACCCACCTTTAATCCTGATAATTCACAAGATAAAATGACAATTTTTATGCATAATGTGAACAATTTTATTTGAGTATCATATTCCAGAACAAAGTAATTACATACTCAAATTAGGGCTTATCTGATGCTTATCAAATTAGGAGTACTTTGTATATTTCGTAACACCAACAATCACTAACCTCCTGATCGTAACAAATTTTGTAAGACAATCAGTAAATTTTAATATGAAGCTACTAATAAACCTATAAACCCATAAGTGTTACAAAACTTATGACCACCCTCAAAAAAATCCATAATTATCGGTTACATGTTATCTCTTTGTTTCCAGGTGGTAATAAGAATCAAAAAACAAAACAAGATTGTAAAAATGTCGATTTATATTGCTGGCGTTCGAGCATCAAAGCATGCATCAAGAATCCGAACATTTAACATCATCAAGAACAAATATGCAACAGATGTAAGCCAAATTAGTTGTTTTTACTAATCTTTGAACCAAAATGAGTCATTTGAATTAAATAAATTAATTCTAGGGATTATTCATAAATGATGTATACCCTCTCCCTCTCCCTTACTTAAGTTGCACATCATTGATGAATGAACCCTTATCAACTAATATGAACTAATGACTTCTTCTTACATCCTTGATACAGGCTGAATACAAGCCAATACGCTCAGTTCTTGTCGCTAATCGCTGCGAGATTGCAATTCGTGTATTTCGAGCATGTAATGAGATGGGTATAAGATCTGTCGCTATATACTCTGAACAAGATACGATGCAAATGTATAGACAAAAGGCTGATGAATCATATTTAGTAGGCAAAGGCTTGTCACCAGTTGAAGCCTACCTTAACATTCCCGAGATTATTCAAGTTTGTAAAGAGAATAATATTGATGCTGTACATCCTGGCTATGGATTTCTTAGCGAACGATCTGATTTCGCACAAGCAGTCATCGATGCTGGAATTAGATTTATTGGACCGTCACCAAAGGTTGTACAGCAAATGGGTGACAAAGTTGCAGCTCGTCAAGCAGCTATTGCAGCTCAAGTTCCAATTGTTCCTGGCAAGTCATGAATAATATTACAAGTAAGCAAGTCTAATATTTTTGATTACAGGAACCGACGGTCCGGTTCATACCAAAGAAGAAGCATTACAGTTTTGTCAGCAGTATGGTCTTCCAGTGATTTTCAAGGCAGCTTATGGCGGGGGTGGAAGAGGTATGAGGGTAGTCAAAAGAATGAGAGATGTTACTGAATCATTTGAGAGAGCAAGTTCTGAAGCGAAAGCTGCTTTTGGGAATGGCGCAATGTTTATTGAGAAATTTATTGAACGTCCTAGGCACATTGAAGTTCAATTGCTTGGTGATAAAGCAGGTAATGTTGTGCATTTATATGAACGTGACTGTTCTGTCCAACGAAGACATCAAAAAGTTGTGGAAATTGCACCAGCACCAAGATTGGATCCGGAAACACGAGACAAAATGACAGAGTATGCAGTTAAACTTGCAAGACATGTTGGATATGAAAGTGCAGGTACAGTTGAATTCTTGTGCGACGAAAATGGTGATTTCTTTTTCATCGAAGTCAATCCACGTCTTCAACTTGAACATACAGTAACAGAAGAAGTCACTCGTGTTGATTTGGTTCAATCGCAGATTCGTATTGCTGAGGGAATGACTTTACCTCAAATGGGATTAACACAAGATAAGATTTCAACTCAAGGATTTGCCATTCAATGTTGTGTGACTTCAGAAGACCCAGCAAATGATTTTCAACCTGATTTCGGACGTATAGAAGTTTTCAGAAGTGCTGAGGGTATGGGTATTCGTCTAGACTCTGCTTCTGCATATGATGGTGCTGTCATATCTCCACATTATGATTCATTGTTGGTTAAAGTCATAGCACATGCTGCTGATCTACAATCAGCCGCATCCAAAATGGCAAGAGCTTTGAAGGAATTTAAAATACTTGGCGTCAAAACAAACATTCCACTCCTTACAAATGTGTTGGAAAATCCTAGATTCCTTAACGGTGTCCTTGACACTTACTTTATTGATGAAAATCCTCAACTATTTAACCTTCAAAAATCATTAAATCACGATGGAAAATTACTCAATTATCTTGGTCAAGTTTTAGTCAATGGAACTCAAACGCCATTAGCTACAAAACTTAAGCCAGCTAATATCCATGCTGACGTTCCAACAACTCCTTCAGGTACGTTTCAAACGTTTTTTAAATGAATTTTATTTTGGTCTTTAGAAATTCCCAATCAAGGGTTTAGATCTCATCAAAGTTAAAATCCTTTTCAATCTAACGCCAGAACTTCATTTATTTAAATCTTATCTTGACACCTTATAGGTCAAGTTCCACCTGGTTTGAGAGATATTTTGAAAGCTGAAGGTCCAGCTGGATTTGCCAAAGCAGTTCGCGAACAAAAAAATCTTTTGTTGACGGATACAACATTTCTTGATGCTCATCAGTCACTTTTGGCAACACGAGTTCGGACTCAAGATTTATTAAAAATCTCGCCCTTTGTTGCTCACAAGTTTAATAACCTCTTTGCAATTGAGGTAAGTTGGTAATAAAATAGAAGTTTCAATTAATTTTAATATTTTGTTATATAGAATTGGGGAGGCGCAATGTTTGATGTCAGTTTGAGATTCCTACATGAATGTCCATGGGAAAGATTAGAAGAAATGAGAAAACGCATTCCAAATATCCCATTTCAAGCATTATTTAGAGGAGCTAATGTAGTTGGTGTAAGTTAAAGCTTCATACATTTGAGAATATATTAATTATTTAAATATAAAATTATATTACAGTACAACTGTTATCCAGACAATGTCGTCTATAAGTTTTGTGAGCTATCAGTAAGTATGAAAATTAAGCAATTGCTGTTAAAATATTATTTCCTGGTAGAAATGGGTAAATTTGAACTAAACACGATAGAATGGAAAACTTTAAAACTATTTCCTTCCCAGAGAATTATTCGGCCTATTTCACTAAAGTGGATTATCCTCGATTTCGGATTATCCACTTCAGTTTTTTGTAAATATCTTAAACTTTATGCAAGGTGTGGTATTTCTAATTTTGGATTATAATAGAGTGAACTATGTCTGAAATTTCTGTATACTTTAAACTTTTACTTTTCATTAAGAACTATCAATTATTCAATTTTCTACCCAAATCTAGTAGATAACCTTCGATTTTTGCTATAATTCTCAAACGAATGAAGATATAAAAATTCTAAGTATATGTTAATTTAAGTAGCAAAGTACTCTTGCTAGATCACACATTAGATCTTATAATAACCGTAATCGTCTGGAGATATTTCCAAAAAACTGAAGTGTATAATCCGAAATCGAAGATAATCCACTTTAGTGAAACATGCCGATTGATGTTGCAAAGTGACTCGGAGATTAGAGTAATTCTATTAATGAAAGATTATTTCGAAATGAACTCTATTTTTGGAACATATTTCTTAGATTATGTACTTTGAATTAATTAAAATTATGCTTCACGATTTTATCGTTGAAAGACAGATTACAGGTGACAACCAGAAAGGTGATGACACAAAACTACCTGTTTTATTTTCAATTATTAATCATTGTTATTTTTATTTTGTTAATCCAATTAATTTAACTGATATACAGTCGAGTTCAGGTTGATGTCAAAATTAAACTGATCATTTTAATTCTCAAATTAAAGAAACTACACAACTGCTGTCATTTGGTTGCGCAAGAAAACATTTTTCGTTTCCAACTTGATAATCATTTACAAAAAGCTATATTTGAGGAGTTATTTATCCAAAAAGAGTTGAAAATAGAACCAGATATGGTCCGAAACCTTCTAATAATTAGTTTTCTCTTTCAAAAACGTACTGTTCGAGTTAATAACTTGTAAAAACTAAAATTGAACGTGTCAAAACCCTTTTAAAACCTTTCAAGTTTTCAGTAGCCGAATTTCACACCTTATATCAATGAATTGAATAAAAGAGTATATTATCTTTTAAAACCATTAAAATGGTTTTGGCATCAGCATCCGCAGCTTAAAATTCTACATAGTGATAATATTTTCAAAATTAACTTAAGTTTTAAAATCCTTATTAAAACAAAAATTATCTCAACAAAAAAAAAAAACACTAGGTTCAATGTGGAATTGATGTTTTCCGAGTTTTAGACAGTTTAAATTACTTACCAAACATGATTCTTGGCATTGATGCTGCAGGAAAAGCCGGTGCAGTTGTTGAAGCTGCAATTTCATACACAGGAGATATTACTGATCCAAGCAAAACGAAATACAATTTGAAGTATTATGTTGACTTAGCTGATCAATTGATTAAAGCAGGAACACATGTTTTATGTCTGTATGATATGGCTGGTTTATTGAAACCACAAGCTGCTGCAATTCTTATTGATGCCATTCGTCAGAAACATCCGGATGTTCCAATTCATGTTCATACACATGATACAAGTGGTGTTGGAGTCGCTAGCATGCTTGAATGTGCACGAGCTGGTGCTGATATTGTCGATGTTGCTGTAGATTCAATGAGTGGAATGACTTCACAACCAAGTATGGGAGCAATTGTTGCTTCACTTCAAGGAACTGCACTTGATACTGGATTCAAATTGGATGACATCTCTGATTATTCAGAATATTGGGAAATTACAAGAACACTCTATGCACCATTTGAATGTACAACGACTATGAAATCTGGAACTACTGATGTTTATAAGAATGAAATTCCTGGTGGACAGTATACTAACCTACAATTTCAAGCATTCTCACTTGGTCTCGGTAACTCCTTTAAACATATTAAAAAGGCATATCGTGAGGCTAACTTACTTCTTGGAGACATTGTTAAAATCACGCCAAGTTCAAAAGTCGTTGGTGATTTAGCACAATTTATGGTCCAAAATCATCTCACAGCCCAACAAGTCGAAGAACGTGCAGAAGAATTGTCATTCCCTAAATCAGTTGTTGAGTTCCTTCAAGGTGAGCTTGGACATCCACATGGTGGATTTAAAGAACCATTTACATCTCGTGTTTTGAAAGACATGCCAAGAATTAAAAATCGACCAGGTGAAAGACTTCCTCCATTAAATTTTGATGCATTAAAGAATGAAGTTCTTGAATTACATCCATATGCTACTGATCGTGATGTTATGTCAGCTGCTTTATTCCCGGAAGTTACAAATGATTTTCTCACATTCCGTCAGGTTAGTTTCTGTGAAATTATGGAGGGAAAATTCAGAGTTAATTCTGAAAACTATTGCGATTATTTGGAATTACCCCTGAGTTATCCTCGCCTTTAATAAAAAAGATTTTTAATTTGTTCCTGATACTTGGATTAAATGACAAAATTTAAAAGCATTTAGATCAGATTTAATAACTTTTTCAAACCAAAATTAGAACTATGGACCAGTTGATAAGCTCGAAACCAGAATTTTCTTTACTGGGCCGGAAATTGATGAAGAATTTGAAGTAAAGATTGACAAAGGAAAGACTATTCACATCAAAACACTAGCTGTAACTGAAAACCGAAATGCTAATGGCAAAAAGAAGGTTTTCTTTAAACTTAATGGACAAATGAGATCATTTTTGATTCGTGATGAGAAAGCTGCAAAGGAATTGCACCTTCATCCAAAGGCAGTCAAAGGAAATAAGAATGAATTAGGCGCTCCAATGCCAGGATTTGTCGTTGACGTTCGTGTTAATGTTGGTGATCACGTGGAGAAGGGACAACCTCTTGTTGTAATATCAGGTAATTTAAGCTTTAAATAATAGTTTTTGAGTTCTGACTAATTCTTAATTAATTTTCAGCAATGAAAATGGAAACGGTTGTTCAATCTCCACGAGCTGGTATAATAAAAGATCTAAGCATCAAGAAAGGAATGAAATTGGAAGGAGAAGACTTGATTCTTACTTTTGAATAACTTAATTAACCTTATTTTACTAAAATTCTTTTTATCTTATACTTTAAGCTAGTTATATTTTTAAGCAATAATGAAATATCTAAGTTAAGTATCATTGTGACATACTGATTATTTTCTTGATTTTAAAAATGCAAACATTTCTAATATAACAAGTTATACAACTAATATGAACACATTTTTAAGCAAATTCAAAATTTAATTTATAGCAATCTGACCTGAACAGTGTGGTTGTAAATTAAATATAGTAAGTGTTGTAATCTTGGTGTGAATAACATATTCAATGTAAAATGTCTAAGATATAGCTTAATATATTCTTGTGAAATTAAATTTGCTCATAAATGCAGGTAAAGATTAAGCAAAGTTTTAAAGAAACATTAAGCATCTATTGAAATTTGAGCAATTCCCCACTTTAATATACGTATTTCTCTAAATGTTCAATGAATTCAATTTAAACTTACCCATAAAACTCTCAAAGCTTTTTTTTTTTCACTTCAATGCGAATATTAGAAAATTTCAAAGGCAACTTTGACAAAGTTTTTTTTTAAATTGAGTTTTCATTTGAAATTTGCTTATGAGAGTTGCTAGAGATTATCTTCAAAATTTCTATAAAACGTTTAATTTCCTTTGTCTATAGTGAAAAATGCATTCTTGACAAAGGTACTCAGGGATTTACTGCCGCATTCTTAATATTTCCAAACTATGATCTTCAATTCAAACCGTTTTTTTCTATTCACATTACCAATTAGAGTTGAACATCAAAAACAAAGTTATCAACTTGTTCAACCTTACCCTGTTTTTTCGTTATAAGCTACTACTTGTTACTAAGCTACTAGCTTAGTAAAGTTTTTTGAACTTGAAATTTTTTTGTAATCTTTACTAAGCTACTACCAAAAATAAAGTATAATTAATCTTTTTCAACTTTCTAAGTATCAGTTTCAATGCCTTATGACATTGTCAATGAAATAAAATCGAGAAGATAGCAAAATTTCTTTAAATAAGTTAAAAAATTTAAAATTTTCATTGAAGTTCAATTTCTTTACTAAGCTACTAGTGAGCCAAAAAAATCACTTTATTATTCTTCTAAGCTACTAGCTTATAACGAAAAAACAGGGTAATCAGCATTGGAAGTTATTGCTTAAATTGGCATAAATAAGCTTAAAAAAATATATATATATTTTTATATATATATATATATATTTATCATAAATCCACGATCACTTTTAATAATTCAAACATAAAAACTTAATGAAGTACAAGATGTTTCATCAAATCATGTCTTTATTTATACTGAAAAAAAAATTTAATTAATAAAGGAGATAGACCCAAAAATCGTCGATTTGATATTTATTGTTTCACGTTGTAAAACTTATATTTCAGTGTTTTACGTCCTGAGCATATATATTTATCTTTTAATTTGGAAAAAAAGGATTTTATTGTGTAATCTATTAGGATTATGATTTAACGTTTGAGTAAGTATTAAAATCAAACTATGAAACATCCTGAGTAATTTTGAACTAAATATTAGATTTACAAAAAGTAAGTCGTGTAACAAAAAATAAAGCAATTTCATCATGTATAAATCAAAAAGAAGTAAGATTCAAAGTTAGAAATGAAGAGACGCTAATGTTAACACAAAATAGGGATTAAAAAAGCGGCGCGTTTCTACAACTTTGTTGAGTAGCGGTTCGTTAAAAATTAAAAGTTAAACAAAATCAAAATCATTTGTCACTTAAACTTGACTCTTTATTGATTTCTCTCATCAAAAACCTTCAGAATTGTTAAATTCCAATCAATTCAAAATAATTCTAGTTCTTAATAGTGTGGTTATGTGGTTCTTTAAAGGTCGCATTCATAAACCCTATTACAAACCGTAAAAAACATTTGAATGGTTTTACAGATATAGAAATAAAACAAGAAGGATAAAAAGGTCTGAAATAAATTTAAGAAGTATCAAATCTACAAAAGTATTATTTCATAAATTACAGTTGATTAAAAAAGAGTAAGTTAAGAGATGTTGCTAAATGTGTTGATTAAGCAAATATTTAAATGTTTTCAGTTATTGTGAAAAACATAATTTTATCGATTTATAAATTAAACAAGATTACACAAAAAAAATCCAGAACTATTATTAAATTAATGACTTTCATTAGAACAACTAATTACATAATGAGCTAAGTTTAAATGGTAATAATGAAGAATCTGATGTTAAGTCAGATGATTTTCAACTTAAACTTAAGCAAAATAATTTTACTGCAATGATGTATGATCCTAAGAAAATGTATACATGGGATGACAGATTGTGAAAATTCAAACAACTTTTTATGAAGAACCGCCGTTTATTATTTCTTTATATGTTCACAGCTGTTTGAAAAAAACAAAAAGAAAATAGTAGATGGGCATGCAAACTAGTGAACGCAGAAATATTTTAACAATTGTATTTTGCTAATGTTCGAATGTATCGCTCATTAAAGATGTTTAAATCTTTGTTGGTTTGAGGATTCTATTCAAATGCAATTGTGGGCCCAAAAATTTTCCATCTTTTTTGATTTTCGAAAAATTCAAGAATTGAACAGCTGGAGAATGAATTAAAATGCGCTGCTTAACAGTCATGCAATTCCAACTTTTTCATAACATATCGTTCTATCAAGCAAATCAAAATCTGGGAAAATCAGCAATAACGTAAGGATATAAATTTTTTTTAAGTTTACATCAAATTTAAGTGATTATAAAGTAAGGGATAAAATAATCTTATGCTTTTTTTAAATGTATCACTGATTTTGTTAATTCAAATTTTTTATTTTTTTTTTCATCTTCTGTCAAATGTTTTTGTAAAATTTATATTTTCAGTTCCGTGGCCTTAAATAATACGTTTATTTAAATAAATAAATTTCCTAGTTATTAAGAAAATTAATAAAAACTTTTAAAAACTTATTCTTTTTTTCCTTAAAGGATTTTTAAAATAATTTCAAGAAATGCGCAAGTCAGTAGACTTGCGCATACAATCTTTGTTGCACGTGGAAAAAGTGCATGTCAATATCAATTAGTACCCAAAAGCTTTCTGTAATATCCATTCATTTAAAGTGGGAATTCAATCTGACATGTTATAAATAGAAGAACAGTTAAATTAAGGAAGCTTTTTAAAAGTTTAAAGTTGTAAGGCAGGTTGTAAGGTAAACATTTTTAAGGGCAAATTTTCTTTTTGTATCAATTTTAACGCTTTAATTCTGTCGGAATTGCAGACTTTAATTAAAATTATTAAATAGCCTGAACATTTTGAACATACTCCTTAGTTTTCTTGGTAGTTTTCAAGAATTTGCTTATATAAGTTACAAAAAAATAATAATGCATCACGCAACAGTTGAATTTATTGTAAGAACTTCACAGATGTGCCGCAATATTTTTGAAAGACAAACATTTTAAACGACTCATTCAAATCAAATTTTCATAAGTTTTCCAAGACAAGATTTATCTTGTATTCTGGCGGGAGTTTTTGAGATCTGAAGAGCTCTGGGGATTTTGGGATTTTTGTAAAACCAAATCAAGAATTTTGAAATTTAAAATAAATTGGAAAAATGATTTAAAAGAAAATGAAAATCTATTAAACATACCTTCTCTAAATCATTTAACTATTGACTTACTTGCTTTTATTTACTTAATATATCCTCACAGGACAACAAACAAACAAAATGCTTTTATCAATGTTCAATGCAGTCCGTAACTCTCCATTTAAAGCTCCTATAGCAAATTGTGAAGAATCTGAAACCAATCAATTGATCAAAACAAGAAATATTGAAGCGGCTACTGCTAATCCTGGTGACACATGTAAATTTGGATCGACTCGTTATTTTGCATTGTGCGGTGTTGGAGGCAGTTTATCTTGTGGAACTACCCATTTCTTCGTCGTTCCATTAGATTTGATCAAATGTCGACTTCAAGTCAACCCAGATAAATACAAGAATTTGATTAATGGATTTAAAGTGACTGTAAGTCAAGTTATTAAAATTTTTTATGAGTTTACAAGGGTTTAATGGATGTTTCCTAAATGATGTTCAAGTAAATTTTGGTTTAAGGTTTTGTTTTAAAATTATGCAACAGAATAGGATTCATTTATGAACAAACCTTGTTATGCTTGACAGTTTATTTTTATATTCACACCGTTTTCACGTGTGAATCTATTGGTTTTGTTCAGATTGAAAAATCAGTTTTTTTTAATTTTGTGAGGAAATTGAGCAAAATAGCTTAAAATGTTCAGATATGAAAAGTTTGTGCCTAGAATTTCACATCTTTTGCAAAAAACAGATTTCAAATTGGTTGCGGCATTGCTGAGAAAATCGCAAAATACGCTTTCTGTAAGCAAGCAAACAAGCAAACAAGTTAATCAGCAAGAAATCTCAATAACGAGACATTGTAGAGACTTCTAGTTTTTTACATTTGATCCGTGCTGCTTTATAGAAGAGCTGTATTGTTTTTGGGCAAGGTAGGAACAGCCGTTGCTTCAGAAAAAGCAAAAAACTTTCCTTTCTTACGAATTTTTCAAAAAAAAAAGTTTGCTGTGATTTTTATAAAATTCAACTTTGGATGAAAAATTTTTTAAAGAATGTTCGTTAAGCTTTAAACCTTCAAACTTGTGCTGAGCAAAGCTCAGCTGACTCACTAGCTTCATACCTTCAAACTTATGCTGAGCAAATCTTGGTCTATCCATAAGACTTTTGATGGTACGGTGTGAATATATCCGCATTGGGTTTCTACCCGATACACTAGTTTTAAAAATGTTTAATCCAGGTCACAGAGGAAGGAACTCGTGGATTAGTGAAAGGATGGGCGCCAACAACTTACGGCTACTCAACTCAGGTAAGTGCATAATCAGTTTAAATATTTCATGGTAAGAAATTCACACCTTACCCTTCTTTAAAAAAATATTAAGTCTCAAAATTGGCCTAGCCAAATACATCCAGATAACAAGACTGGATAAACTCACGTAAAAATCTTTTATGCAATTCTTAGGGTTTTTTTAGGTTCGGTTTATATGAAGTCTTTAAAGTCTATTATGCGAAACTTTTGGGAGAGGAAAAATCTTATACGTGGCGTACTGGAGTATATTTGGCTGCTAGTGCTTCGGCTGAATTCATTGCTGATATTGCACTTGCTCCATTTGAGGCTGCAAAAGTTAAGATACAGACAACAGAAGGCTACGCAAATACAATGCGTGAAGTCATACCAAAGATGTATGCTGAAGAAGGAGTTACAGCATTTTACAAAGGTTTAGTTCCTTTATGGATGCGTCAAATTCCATACACAATGATGAAGTTTACATGCTTTGAAAGAACTATTGAAGCTCTTTACAAATATGTTATTCCTAAACCTCGTGCAGATTGCACAAAAGGCGAACAGCTTGTTGTTACATTTGCTGCTGGTTACGTTGCTGGAATCTGTTGTGCTATTGTTTCACATCCAGCTGATGTCATTGTTTCGAAATTAAATCAAGTTAAAGGATCGTCAGCATATGAAATTGCCAAGGATCTTGGATTTGGTGGAATGTGGCAAGCACTAGGTCCCCGAATTATCATGATTGGTACACTGACTGCTTTTCAATGGTTTATTTATGATGGTGTTAAAGTAGCTTTACAAATTCCGAGACAGCCACCTATGGAAATGCCGTAAGTGCTGAGATGTGCTTTATTTTAATCTCAGGATTTTAAATCCGAGGATTTAAATTTGAAATAATGCATAATGATGAAAGTTTGATGGAATTATTGTATTGACTGACTTCAAGATTGTTACTGATAAGCTTTATTTGTTTAATTACAGAGCATCACTTAAAGCCAAGCTTGGAGTTGAATAAGCTGCAAATAAATGAAGTATGCTCCAATTCTCTTTTAAAAAATGCATTTTTAATTTATTGCATTGAAATGTGTGAAATTTAAACGTTTTTTTAAAATTTAATATAATTTAAATTTAAATGTTCTTTCTTCTATTTCTTTGCTCGATTTTACGTTAATTTCTAATAATTAATTATCAAATTGTAACTTAACATGAATATGTTAATTTTAAATAAATAGCAAAAAAAACGTTGAAAGAAACAAAAATTAATAAAGATCGAAAACAATCCAAAATCGAAAGTTGTCTCGCCTTCATATTGCTTCTTTTCAGTATGCAGCGGAAGAGTATTCAAATTAGTTTTATTGAGACTTCAAAGCCATGATCTTCCTCAATTAAACACTTATAAGATTTTGGTGCTTTGTGATCAAAAAAACACTTAACGGTTTTGTAAAATTCGTAAAATTCAAAAATTAAAATGAACTCAAATGAACTTTTTTGAATCATTAAGTACCGCTCAATTTACTTGTTAACATCAACTTTATGATAAATTGTTATTGCCCAAACGTGCTGAGCATTTTTTGTAGATACATAAGGGGCCGTTCACTTATTACGTTACGCAAAAAAATGACTTTTTTCACCCCCCTCCCCCCTTTGTTACAATATGTTACACCCCCCCCCCCCCTAAACGTTCTTAATTTTATTTTATTTCTTTTAAATCTATAAAGAAGGTTAAATTTCTTTTGTATTTTTTTTCTTAAATATCAAAATACTGTACAGCTAAATAGGTCATGTTTTGATTGATACTATTAGTATTCTCATGAATTATTGGATTGAGATATAAAGCAAAAATTTGTTTTTTAAAGAAAATTCAAAAATGTCATGAAAAATATTATGCCCGATCGAATATTGGAAAATTCAATTAACTTTGAATATGAATGACAGATTTAGAGAGATTTACTTTTAAACTTATGATTGATTTAATTTTGAAAATTTCCACAAATTATGATTGTATTTTAAAGTCTTGTAAACCAGTTTTCTATTGATTTGTTACTTTATATAACAAAAACTATGTATTGCTTAGCTATCAAAAGAGATCTGGACATTTGTAAATCATTAAAAAGGTGGAAAATTTAAAAAAATGTTTTTGGTGTGAATTTGTAAACAAATTTTTTTTTGAACGTTACATACTTCTTGACACCCCCCCCCTATGTTACATTTGGTTACAATTTTTCAAACCCCTCCTCCACCCTAAACGTAATAAGTGAACGGCCCATAAAACAATTTTACCAAAATATTTGTGATAGAAAGTTTTATGAATTAATGAACAGAAATCCATTCAGAAATCTGGGGTTCATTTCAGTTCAATTTAGTTCATTTCAATTCAAATTCTCAAAGACCGTTAAACATTAAAAGAATAATAATTACAGAAAATCAAACCAATTCAAAAGTCTGAGAATTGACTTTAATGATCAACAATCGAATGCTTCTCTCCATCTTTACGCAAAAATATGTACTCAATGATGCAGTCTGAAGATGAAAAAATATTATTTTAAAAATACAAGATCACACAAAATGAGGTTTTGAGATGCAATTTTATCTTATCATCATTATCATTAAAGTTTATTGCTTCACTGAAATTTTCTGTCCTCGATCTGTAATAAGATTGTCCCCTCGCAGCTCATTTAATGCAAGACTTTTTTGAGGATTTATTTGATGAAAAGTTGAGCAAAATTGTAGATTTTTTTTTTTGAGATTTCATGCATTGAATAATGATTGTTTAATTGCTTTAAAGATCAAATGTGATTTTTGTCAACACTCACGCATTTGTTTGCTCGATCTTTTATTAAAAATTTAATATAAATACCACGAAATCTACAAAATGTGTTTATTGTCCTGGAAATTAAGGTTTGCAAACTTCCAATCATTAATCAGAAAGCTGAGAAGATTGGTTGCGCAAACCAAAATGCGTTTAAGCCTCTTATACCCAATTACTATCATAGCTTTAAACTACTCATCATTAAATGTAAAGCAACATAGTTTTCATAAAATAAAATAAACTGCATACCATTTAGCTTGTAATGTTTTTTTTTTCTTGACAAGACTTTCTACTTCAAGGAACATATTTCCATATTAAGAAGAGTAACAAGCTATAAATAGAATCACAAGTATTCAGTCAACAAGGAGAGATCACGAATAAGACATTGTTTTGTTATTTTTAACAGGAATAGCTGTCGAATCGTGAAAGTCATCAATAATTTGTTCTAGAAGTTGCTAGAAAAGTAAATTAATGAATATATTAAAAAGATATTTTTGATTAAATTTTTAAACAACTTTTCTTCTTTTATTTGTGACAAAATTATTTACAGCGCTATCATTTTTTTGTGTACTGTGTAAAGATAGCAGAGAAAACACTCATTTTCTTTCATTTACATACATACATACTGTATATTTGTAAAATTGATTCAGAAATTACATAATTAAAGTTATAATTAATAATATTAATAATAATAATAATAATAATCGATTATTGGACAATATGAACCTAAGTCTGTATGTTTTGTGTTTTGTTTGTTTTTTTTGTGTATGAATAAACAGTGATAAATCCAGTGTAATGTCTGGAAGGATTAGTAGAATCTACATCTATGATATAACACAAAAAAGAGAGTTAAATATTTTTAGTATAAAAATCGTACTGCTAGCTTCATTTTTGCATATCCAAAAATAATTTCCAAAGTTCTGTGAGCAGTTCCACATTGGGAACAACTGATGAATTTCATGATTAAAATGATTGCAGTGATTTCACAGTTTTTAAAAAATGGACAATGTTTTTCAATTTTAATTTGGCATATACATTCATTATTGCCATGCTTCATTTTTATATGATTCAAAACTCTTCGGACACTGAAAAACTTCCATTTTTCCTAATCAGTTGTATTGTTCAGTCTTTTCAGTTGCATAAAAAATTGTAGAAATAAAATATAACAATAAAAACAAAAAGTTTTTTTCTCTCTTGCGTCTTCTGCTTGTTTTCTTCTTCATCTTCAATTCCACGTTTCAATTGTGGTCAAAAAATAAAAATTCAAAATATAAAATTTTGGTATATTCATCAGATTTCATCTTTCAGCAATTTTTCCTATCTTTCTTTTTGTTTGTTTAATTACTTTTGCAACTTTTCCGATACTTTTTTTACTCAATCTATTATCATATCCTTTAAATATGTCTAATGTCTAACATGATTATATTCCTCTTGAAATTATTTAAGATAATAGTAGGAGTTTCTTGATTTACAAATATCAGTTTTTCTTTTCACATTCGGAAATGGAATATCCTTAAAAAATAATCAATCAATGATTTCTGTCTGGATTCTTATCATCGTTGTGCCAATTGATTTTTTAACGGATTTTTGAAATTCAAAATTTTTAACCGTCAAACTCGATTTTAATTTTCAAATATATTTTGACCACTAAATTGTCAATTTTTTGAAAATTTTCAAATTTTGAGTATTCTGTTTTGAATTTCGATTGACCGTTGTTTCAATCGTCAAAACTTTTTTTTTTTGTAAATCCAATCGACAGAAATCCACAAATTTTTCACATGTTTCAAAGTACTTTAATTATTATTACTACTAAGAAAAAATGAAATTGAAAAATTTATTTATCCTACATTCATACTTATGCCTCCGTCACCACTCAATTCTTATATATCAATTATCAACTTTCCCTATTTCATTCTTTTCTTTATAAATATATATAATTTTGACATTGATGAATAATGAGTTGATCTTTCAATAACAAAAAGTAGGATTAGCTAATTTTAAAAATATTCCACCACATAAAAAGATCTTAAAAACAATAAAAATTAAAATAATAGGACAAAAATAACATGAAATAAAAGAAAAGATATCAAATTGTGATCTCATGTGTAGATACTTGAGAAATGTTAAAGTTTATAGCACATATAATTGCAAAAAATGGGAAACGTGTAAATGTAAGCTTGAATTATTTGACCTGCAAATCTTCTAACTTTATATATATATTATTATTCTTAATCAGTGCTAATTTAAAAGACAATCTCCAGCAAGTACACATCGTGATCAACAATTAATTATCCCTGTTCCATAGCATTACTTTATGATCTTTTGTTTCTTATAAAATGATGATAAAAAATAGAGAATTTTTACGATATTTTTGCTTTTTCACTTTCAGACTTTGCTAAACACAAAATGAAGTAAATAAAATGATTTTGGAACATGTAAATTACCAATAAAATAAAATTAATCTGTAATCATTAACTGACCCAATTTATAACATCAAAAAAAAAGCTTTTTCTTCAGTTTCTGACTCCATCATCTGTCGCTTTCCCTGAAGCTCCAACTATGACACTCTCTGAGCTTCCAATCGATCATCTTTCCACATCACATTATAATTAGTTATCTCCTTTTTAATATAAAAAAGTAGGTTTATATTGCATATAACATTTTTTTTTCTTCTTTTGTTGAGGCTTTTAGTGAGTTTTATCTTGAGCTATTCTCCTCATTTTTTGATAGAAATTTTTTTTTACATCTTCAAATTGTTGTTTGTACTTTTAAAGTGTTAATGTTGAGCAAAATTCATCCATTCTTCACTCATTATCAAATAGTTCCAATTATTTATCAATTCCCATGATTTTTTTTTGATGCACTCTACGCATAATCATTATTGTTTACATGTACAAACCAGTGCAAATTCCGTTAGTTGATAATGAACTGTGAGAGAAATAGAAGATAAAATAGAACAGCGTTATTATTAATGTCTACAATTTACATATTAATTAATGGCATGCACCACTACCAAGCACAATTTAGACCTTACAACAAAAAGTCATTAAATGGGTATTATATAATCACATAATGTGTCAATTAATAGATTTGAAGCATGAAAAAGGTTAATGCAACAAAATTTCCAGTTAACAGATTTTTACGTTTCAAATTATTTTCAAAACCAGGAATTTATGAGGTTTTATAATTCAAATTTTTAATGACAGTTAATTTTAATGAAATCTTTGTTAGTGACTTCTGTTAATTAACTTGAATTTTGAGTGACATAATCGTTTAAATAAGCTTTATAGTTTGATTAAAAAGAATTTTAAAGTAAAAAGCATGTTTGCAGTTCCTCAAATGAGAAAAAAATAAGTGTTATGCAAGCAATTGAGTCATTAGAAACGGATATAAAGATTGTAGCTACTTAATCACAAAATATAACTGGAAATTTTGATCAAGTAATGAAAATTAACCATCAAAAATAAAGGAAGCCATTGAATAAGCAAAAAATTAAAATAATGAAAGCACCGGACAGAACACAAAAATGCTTAAGTATTGAAAAATTACCGGAATTTTGAAATTAAGCTCGAAATTTTTTTGATTTGTGGTTTTTGCTTGCTTTCATTTGTCCCAGCATGATGTTCGCCTATGATGTCTAAATTTTGGATTGATCTGGGGCTAATTTTTCTTATTGTTCCTTCATATTTTTTTTTTTTTATAACTGAGACTTAAAATTTCCCAGATTCTTGTTCCTATTTGTAGCTTTTCTCTTAAATATTCTCAATTTCTCATCACTTCACAACAAAAAAGAGTTCTCTGAGATTTTAAAGCATTTGATTTTCGATTAAAAACTTTTTGATTAAAAACATTATTTTTTTTTGTTTGTAGCACGGTGCTGACAACGATTATTGATTTTTTTAAACGTGTAGGTTAGATGAAAACATTTACCAATAAGGTAGTGGAGACTCTGAATGTCTTGTGCTAAATTCTGACCATGATCCGAAATGAGCTTTCGGTACAGCAACGGGCTCTGTCGGCGAACAGCTACGATCTATTGTTTTTGTTTCCTCCTTTTTCTTCTCTTTGTCTGTGTTATTGCTAACTGTTGTGTTATTAAGTCTTATCACGAGTTCATTTTCTTCTTGACGTGCAGATACTCGATTTGTTAATTTGTAGTTGATACCCTAAGTTTTTGGAAACAATAAATTGTCAATTAGTAATCAATTTAAACATATTTAGACCCCCACCCTCCTTGAAAAATAATAAAAGTAGATTCTACTCACTCCATTGTTGTCCCAAAACTCCTTTCCGTCCGCTCTGTAGCATACACAGAATTCCAAGTTTCTGGAGTGTGGCGGAAGTGTTACTTTGAATGAGAAGGTATCGTAAATGACATAAGCTCCACTAGCTCCAAGAATCTTTGAATATGTGCATGTGGTGTCTGTGTTAGACTTCCAACTATCCCATGTCGATCGGATTATTACTTCTTTGTGAAAACTCAAATTTTTTACTTTTACTGTTCCAACAACTGTTGATTCCGATTCTTTTATTATTACATTTTCCAGTGACACATTACTTGATTCCAATTTACGTCTGTTGTGAATGAAAGAAAGTGTTACATAATGTCAATTATATAAAGCATATGAACAGCTTACCTAAATTCAAGATAATCGGATGCTGGTTGCCTAAAATCAATGGTCCACTGTTCCTGAGGAACTGGAGAAATCATTCCCTGAGTTACGTGCGCGAGAAATTGCAATGACCACGTTGGTGGTTGTGTTGATGATTCTGACATAATTTTAACTTGTTCCAATTCCAATCCTTTATCGTCGGCAAAAACAACGCGCTTCTTAGCTTTTTGAGGTCTCTCATAATCATCGCTATCATCGCTGCTGCTATCACTCGTTGGCTCATGTTTGTGATGATTATTGATATCGTTACGGACAATAAGGCATGAACGGCGCGGCTTTGGTACTAAACATGGCTTGTATGGCGAGAGACTTTGTAAATGAGTTTGATATAATGACTGCTGTTGATTTTGTGGTGGAAAGCGACGTTGTGACAATGGTGATAAAACAGCTGCTGATCTACAGAATCTTGGCGATTCATAAAATCTATTCGGTCCATATTCTGATAGGAAGCCCGTCGGTGGACTGTGGCTAAATAATGGAGGACTCTGAGATACTAGCATCTCGTAATAAGCGGGCATTGGTATGGCTCGCGACGGTGATATCGAAATGTAATCCGTTTTTGATGGCGTAATTTTGACTGTTTATATAAAACTATAATGAGAACAAGAATAAGCGTCGATTAGTGAAAATTGTTTAGCATGTGCTTGATCTTTATTGCCCTGTTTTGTCATCGCAAAAACAAGAGCGAATGAGATTTATATACTTTTGTTTCAGCATGTGCTGATTTGTTTTCTAAATTTTCATTCTGTTTTTCCGACGTCATTATTTAATGATTTCAGGAAACAAACGCACGAAGAGGATTGTAACATCATTAAAAATAGCCAATAGAGTCTGCAATTCATTTGCTTACGATCAGAAAAAATTCTTTTCTTTTTAAAAGGAAAATTGTAATGAAAATATCAGTTCCAAAAATATAAACTTTATTTTTCCCACATCTGCTAGGTCGTGCATGTAGTCGTAGTTAATTAAAGTCCCATCTTGCATTTTTATATTTCACCAAATTTACTATAATATCCATCAAGACCGCATTTTTTTTGATATCAAAATTTATAGATATTTATTAGGCACGCTGCCAAGTCCAATACAAAAAGTGTAATTGCAATGCAAATTGTTTGCTAGAGTTCACGGACGGATCTTACAAAGATAGATTTCAGTACACGAGTAGGAAGAATTTAATTTAATTTTAAACAAATGGCGCCTCATAAATAATCAAAAATTATCCTTCGAGACTTTTCATAGACAAAATCAATTGCTCGAATATTATTCTGAATGTTGCACAAGGCTCACTATAACCCTAAACCCACACTCTATCTCAACATCTATCGAGTCATGTCTAATTTCTAAAGTAAACTTGACATATTTCTGATACTTTTATTTTTTCGGGTGGATTGAGCAACAAGCGTCGACATGTTTCAAAAAGAGTTTCTTTGGGGAAAATTTTGTGATCACTCGCTACTCACGTGATGATTATTATTAGTATATTACTATGTGTGAATACTTCATCTATTTGTGATAACGAAATTGAGACAAAATTTTGTTTTTTTAAACGCATGCTAGACGCGTGCCAGCTTCACAGTACAATTAGAGGTGAAAAAATTTCATTCATCAGAGATTCCCTCATGTCTTCAACTCATTAACTGATATCAAAATATAAAAATAAAATCATCACTGATAATGATTCACATGTAAAGCATGTGAAATTTATACTTGTTATTTCCCATTTTACCGTTTATTTAGTGATTAATGAAGTCAAGCATATAGATTATCAGCGGGTCAGCACTGTTTGTATTTTGATTTACTTATTGCAAATAGTAATCTTTTTTGCCACACGATGCAATAATCTGGATGAAACTTGTTGATTATTCAGATCTCATTTGTTATGGAACTTGAAACCTATATGATTGTTTTGATCGCCAGGCAATTGTATAATTTTTTTTTTTGGTAAATATAGTTTTATTGATTCAAGGCTACACGCGCAACACATGAAACAATGTTTTTTTTCACCTTTCTGTTATTTCCATTTTTTTTTTGACAATTGTTCAGAGGTCTTGCATTATTGTTCATTAATAGTTATTTTGGAGCTTTCATAATGTTTGACGGATGATTAAGAAGAAGCAAAAATTTTTGTAAAGTCAAACTGAGGTTGCTACTGTGGTTGAAAACAACTTTTTAACAATGTTCAGGGATGGATGAAGGGGATATGAGATTAGGAAGTTCCATTAAAATTGTTTGTTGACTTTATGATGCTCACTCAACGTTGAATCCATCCCTCAAAATTAGTTTAAGATCCACGTCGCGTTTGTTGGTCTTGTTTCTAAGGAGAATCTCCCGAATTTCAAACTCAATCTCCAAAGTCATACCTAACACTATTCCAAATTAAACCGGTACCTGACTTCACCTCTGACCATCTAAATAACATTAGTATGCGTGGTATTTTTGTTCTACACGTGTAGCCTCCAATGTTACTGGTCATTATAGCATTATGACTGTTAAATAACTTCGGCATACAAAATTTCAGATTCGTAAACAAGCGAAACAAAAAACATTATTGAATGAGAAGTCCACGTTTTGGTAATAAGAGTCATCAGCTTAACTCGAGTACCATTTATTTATGTTATGCGAATAAATTGTATTAAGTAACATGAGCCGGTCCTCTCAATGATAACAAAAAAAAAATCTCTAGATTAATCAAGATAGACATCCACTTGAGAGATTTGAGTCAATTGTAGACTTAGTGATTTGTTATTTGAAATTAATTAGTCAGTAGCTGCTAAAGACTTTTCACGGCAATGTGTTGAAGTCGTTAAAATAAAAGCAATAATTATGACATTAAAATGCAGGCTGGGGTCATTAAGATAGCTGCATTATTATCAGTCTTCCATTGAATCAGACTTTATGAATGGGTTTTTCTTAATTAATTCAAGACTGTCTTCTTATCTTAATGGACAATTGGAACTGATAATTATGGTTGAAAATTTCACTAATTAATCGTCTCATTGAGGAGAAATTTTCATGATTCATGATTTGTTTTTCACGCTACCACACTTTCCATCGAAAAACAAAAAAAGAAAAAAGAATGTTTCACTGCCTCTGCCTCTTTATTTCTCATCATATGATGCATTCCGAGGGTTTATTTATAGCCAAACAGAAATAACAGAGAATTTTTTAAATCATAGGAATATAATGAGGATATTTTGCATGCCTTATATTCGGGTCATAAACGTTTTAAATGACTTCGTTTTCCTCACTATATCCATTTTCAATGTTATGTGATATTAGTGAGTATTAATGTGAGAAAAATCATCTGCTGCTGTTAAGGGTCGATTATTAATGACGTCTATTGAAAATTTCTTAAATTCCTTCGTTAGCATCGTTCTAGGATTTTTCTCATCTCTAAAGTCCCACAAAAAAATAAAACATCATTTATGAACAACCCCAACTAAATTACATCAAGTTTTTTCCTCTCAAAGCTTCATAGATGTTAATTATTTACGTTTTACTTGAAGATGAATGAACTTTTCATTTCATAGGACGTAGAAAGAGAAAAGCAAGTTGCATTATTTCATTAACGAAAATTGCATTTAGATGCATTGCCCTCGTTTGAAAAATTGCATTAACGCAATTACTTTTTTCCTTTGAAACTTGAAACTGCGGAACCTTTAAAAAATATTGTCTTTTTTTCATATTCATTTATTTAATTTGAGCAATGTCATCAGATTCTTTTTTCAAAACAAGCAACTTTATAGCTGCAACTGACTTGAATGTTTGGTAGACATAGATAACATTACTTAACTGGATATTTTATGTTGTGTACGACTCGATAGACGGGAAAAGGTCATTTTTCTATTAAGAAATTGCTCTCTTTTGTTGTTCCTAATAATATGAGATGATTATTGGTAAAATATATACTTGAGTGTGTTCATTGACATTTCTATGATCTGGAAATTTCCGTTGTTTACGCAAAATCCAGCACTGGAACCTTCAAAAATAGTAAATAGCCAAAAATTGTGTCTAAGTCGATATTAAATTAGTGGATTACTAATTTTAATATCGTGAGGATTGTGCGTATCGACAACACTTTATGTGATGAAATAGAGATTGACTTTTGTTGGGAATCAAAACTTTGAAAGAACTTGAGCTGACAGATTTGCCTGCACATTGCTCAATACAGAATAGCCTAGCAACAAAACAATATCGCAAATTTACATTCTGTTCATTTTGTAGACAATATTTTAGAAATTATGTCACCAATATCCGTCAAGAAAGATTATAGGACATGTGTCAAAAAGATGCCAAGAATAAAAAGAATCAAACCTTGAATTTACCTTTTAAACCGAAAATTTCGTTCAATGTCAAGCACTAAAACGTGTTCTATATTAAAGCAAATCTCTGACTATGTGTATGTAAAAATTTGAAAAAAAAAATTAACAGACATTTTCATGTTCGATTTGGATATGAGAGAATGTAAAATATTCACAGTCAAAAACTTTTTATCTATCATCTTTTATTTTTAGGCATAGAGATTGGCTGTTTCATGGCACATTATGACTTGCATTTCGAGCGACAATTTTAAATGAATTGAAAAATTAAGGAAATTATTATCTGTAACTCTTTCACTTCCGTGTAACTTTATCTCTTTGTCTATTCCTAAAATAAATCAATCAATCTAAGCGACTTACATAGTCGTGACATTTAATAGAAGACAAAAGTTTATGATTGATTTCGACTGTGGTTGATGCACATCATGGACAGATAAATAGGCCACAAAATGTTCTTGAGTTACTTAATCCCCGAGCATATTCCTATGACAAATCGCATCTTGTATTTTTAACATTGCTAATCAATTTCATTTGACTTTGTCATGTCATATGAGACATATAACGTATTTAAGAGTATTATTATTATTAGTGTACATGCAGGCAAGCAGCGTTTTATTTTTCATCAGACGAAAATGTCAAAAAATGAAAACAAAGAAAAGAAGAAGCAGTTTGAACTGAAACAATTTGCTCGTGTGAAAAGAAATTCTCATGAAAAAAATTAAATAATTTGAGCATTTTCGAATATCCAAAGAAATATATTGTATAAATTAAAGACTGCGAAATATGTCCATGAGTAAAGAAAGTCGTTGGCGATTAAGTTTATTTTTGTCAGCACATTAGTAGAACTTGACGTCGTCATACAGATGAATAACGCCTCTCGCTCTCTAGGGACATTTATTTTTCCTCACATTTTATTCTTCTTTCATTTTTTTTCTTACAAAAAAATCTTTTCCTTCTAAATTTAAAAGTATTTTTTCTGATGAAAATAAAATTGTGCCTGTTCGCTAGTGACGTTCCTTTTTTTCGGTTTTAGGGTTCAATGATTTTCTCAATTAATCTTAATAAATAGAAAAGTGGTTGCGTTGACTTTACCCCTTTTTTATTCCAGAATTTTTAACTATTCATGAGCAGAGAGCATACAAAGTGTCACTAGTGAACGAACCCCCAAAAAAGAGAAATTCATTCTTATAAAAATAGAAATAATTCGCTTATTTTGGTGGAAATTTTTTGTACGTTTCAAAGAGGTAAACAGATTTAATTTATTGTCAGTTA